AATCATCCATAAAAATAATAAGATGCCAAGACGTTTCAGGTAGATGCATATTTGTGTTTAGAACTGAAGGGTTTTTTGGACTGAGAGGGCGGGATGACCCACAGGAACAATAAGAGTATTTATAGGCTATAATATTTGCACCATGCCAAAGATGACTGCTGTACCTTAAAGTAAAGCCTGCAGGAAAAAAAAGCATAATCTGAGAGCATACAAGAGAGACAAACTAAATCTAATTAAGCAGCAACAGGAGCGGCCTCAAGTGTATTGCCTTGTTTTCATTTCCATTACAGCTGCTCCACTTGGTTGGGTATGCATTTCATGATTCCCTGCAGTATTAAAAAAGGATCCCCAACAAACCATTTTATGCTATCATAGAATATACTTTGTCTTGATACCAGCTCCCACTCACCTCTCTGCTTCTTGCTTCTCGGCCCACTCACACCTTCCCGAACATTCCTCAAAGCTTTCCGTGCATCAAGCAGCTCCCTCCGCAACATGGCTCTCGTCTTTCCTTTGTATGGTCCTTTAAATAAACGACTAGATGGCTACTTCTGCCCAAAAGAACTTATCTGAGTCTTCCTCAAGACACGCCACTAAAAAGAGGGAACCTCCTCAAAACAACTCCGACAGGCCTACTTCTCCCAGTTTCATCTTCTCTCCCTATGATTTCTTTAAAATGGCTTCTTCTGCAGCATGAAATGAGGCACTGCTCAAGCAGTGATGTGCTGTCTTAAGATGGCTGCTAGACCTTAAAACTTTATCTTCCTCAGCCCATGTCTCTCTTTCTTGCCCTCTCCCTGTCTTCCCCCAGTCCTCCCTTACTTTGACTGCCAACTTCAGCAGTCTATTTCGAGCCCTGCATAGTACGACCCCTCCAGTCGTACTGTACTTTCCTTTTGCACCCCCTTTCAGAGAGCCTGCCCACCCCCACCCCCCCACCCCACCCAGTTGTAGCCAGAGATTAAACACACTCTCACAGAGAAACTGAACGACCTCTGCCGTCCTCTGTGGATCCCTCTGCTTGTATTAAAGGGAGTTTTGAAACTCTAGCACAAGGCTGACATGCTGTCGGACACCACTAATGATATGCTACGACTGCACACACAATACGGGACAATGAGACAGTTACAGATGGATCTATTTCACACAGCTGAGCGCTTATACACCTTGGAGCTGGAGGGGAAAATCACACTGTAGCCTTGCAGGTGTTAAAAATAAAGTTCAGACTGTGTGACTGAGTTCATTCATGTATCTGACGCTTTGCCCGTGTGGAATTCACCTGAATGTGAATGCAATTACAGATCATCGGCATCAAAAGCTGACCACAGTCTGGCTGCAAGTGTTACTGGAGCTGTACAGTAGTGTGGACCCTCTCCGTCAGCCTGTCACTCTGCTTTATAGATGTCTCTCAGGTGATGTAATGAACCCTCTGGCATTCACCATGGGGGGGGGGGGGGGGGGGTGGGGGTGGGGAGGGGGGGGTCAATGCTGCTGAAAACTACATCTCTCACAAATGAGTGTATCTAAACAGCTGTTTTCATAAGGAATGGTTGATCTTGGTGCTGTAACTAACTGACCTACAGTAATGATTTGTCATCTGATTGATCTGGTGTACGGAAAATCAACTTGTTAGTTTGCTAACGGCAACAATTAACCCCTAACATCTGATTAGCTTATGAGCTAATGTAAAGTTTCAAACATTAGAATTATTACTTCATTCCAACAGCTTGTTACTGTTACTGTTACCTCTCCTCCTTCCTGGCTTCCATAACAAATGTCTAGACCGGAATAACCCAATGACTTCCTGCTTACTGCTGTACCTTCACCCTCTTTCTCACATTCATCCATCCTCAACAACTTTCATAACATTTGACAGATTCGATGAAACTATGTCTACCTGCAGGATGAATACCATGGTTAATAATAAGGTTATTTAATAAGGTAATGGTTTTTTTGAAAGCTGAAAAAACTGTAGCAGAAATTTTTTTCCATGTTGCAGCCCCACAGATTTATCTTGCGAGCCTTGGGAAGCCAAGGGTTAAAGGTGCAACAAAGACCTTTTCAAATGTTATCTTATGACGCCTTGAAGGTTCATGCTCCTGCGTCACAGTACGACAATGATCTCCTGATGACTGTACACGTAGCTTAAAATACCACAGGTGACTGATGTGCTGCTTCTCCAGAGCTTCCATCAAAACTGCTCAGCCTTCAGATGCCTGACAGCATGTTAATCAAAAGCTATATGTCAGAGGGTGATATCAATAAAGTTGTGACACTGCACTACTCTGGTTTCTAGTTGTGATATCACAAAGTGACAGACCTGACTGTCTGACTTACTGAGCGATGCTCAAAAGCAGCCAGAACAGTCATTAAAGATAACCACACACACGTGCGCTGATACACACCAGACACCGACACAAATACACCAGTCACAGCCCCTCCCTCCCGTCTTAGCACACTCTCCTCGTCTCTCTTTCATCACACTGACCGTGATTGAGTGTGACAGCGCCGTGTCTTGACCGTGGTGATGCTATAATTATCTGTGATGTCTGCCGGTGCAATCGGAGAAGGGGGCCGGCGGCATCCACTAGAGCACGAGCCCTGTGGCCGGCACGACACATACCAGGCCATAAATAACCATGAGGAGAGAGAAAGCAGGGGAGTTGCAAGAGGGAGGCAGAGGTCAGAGAGATAGTCAGGCAGCTAAGACCCAGAAAATGGGTAAAAACGAGGACACGGTGGTAAAAAAAAAAATCTTATTTCGCTGACTTTCAGCTTGTGTTAGCTATTCATGCAAATAGTAACACCATTCAGACTAAAGCTCATCAAGAAACAAAGAGATTGGGCTGATTTCAAGTCTATTAAATCAAGTTCAAATCGAGCCACAAGTCTTCATCATCATCAGATAATGATTATTTCCAGGTGTAAAAGCTGACAATTAAAAAGACACATCATTTCAATATTGTCCTTTCAGAGCCATCTTAATGAGTCTATACATATCTACCAAGTTCTGTCAATGCATTGGCTTGAGAGTTAAATATGTACGGTTTGCACCTATGTAAGGCCTGCTGTTGCTGTCTTGTTTATTTTTTTTATTGTTCCAGGATTTCACCAGGTCAGAACTCAAGTTTCAAAATAAGTCAAGCAAGTCTCATACAAGTCTAACCATCTAGTTTACAGTTCTGGTCATGTGGAAAAATAAAGTAATAAAAGAGATATATGAGAAATATAAAAATGGACCAAAAGAAATGCATTCCATCTGTACTGTCCCTCAAAATCATAACTTCAACCACGCTGAAATTAGCAGAGAGAGACAAAAGAAGAGACGGATGAAAAGAAAGAAGCAAAGAACAGAAATACGTGATGGGAACAGAGGTCAAAAGGTAGCAACTGACGCTGGATTGCTTTGAGAGGACAGAGAGGTGCTGAGTGATATGTCAGCTGGATCATACGTGCCAGCTCGTAGTGTTAGAGCTGGTGACATGTGAGCTCAACTGTCAACTTTCTTCACAGGCCAAGGCAACAAGACCGCGATCAAATATACACAGCAGTACAATGATCTCACTGCAAACCATTCTACGCCAAGGACTCTGCCATTCAGACGGATGATGCAAACTGGTCAGGAGTATTTATACCAGCGAACGCCCAGTTTCATGCTGTAGTTTTATCACAGATCACAGCCAGATCTAGAACTCGAAAAAATAATTTCTGCTCGTTAGACCCTAACAGAATTCAACATGAATTGTGCACCACTTGCTTGAATGTCACTGATTTTATCATGTAACTAGTTAAAAGGTCATTTTTTTTGTCCGATGCTATATGAAAATAGGGCTATATGTGACATACAGGGCTCTGGTATATGCTTCTAATAGTCAGTTACTGAGGCATGAGAGCTGAGTTTAAAAAAAGCCACAGACGCCACACTGACAAATCCTTATCTCCTCAAGACAGAGGTGACAAGACAAACTGGGAAATGATAGACAAGCCAATCAAATCCATCACTGTGCAAGACACTGAGAGCAAATCCATACATGTTAGACACACACTTTCACACTGCTCTTCAGCTGTGGACACAGTTACTGAGTGTAAGAGAGAAGTAAGTGAGACATGATAAAGATGAGGTGGAAGATGGGGCTGCTCAAAAAGATCATTAATGTCTCGCATACTTTGCTGTTTGAATTTATGCTGACAGAAGGGCCACCCGGAGCGACACTGTCCCACCATAGTGTTCTAACTTTGGAGATGTTACGGAGACACAACAACAGCAATAGGTACGTTTGAGCTTCCAAAAGTTTACTTCTGCAAAGAGTCTTTTAGGAAGTTTCATCCAAAGTGAAACCTACGCAAACAGACTTGAAAGCACCAAACAATAACTTAGAAATCTGCATAATATTGATTCAAATCAAAATCACAATATTCATGAGAGAATAAACTTGTGCTCCATCTGTTAGAGGTCTCTGTCAAAGTGACCATTTTCAGTATGAGTTTCACTTTTGCCGTTTCTCCAGAATGGAAATGTTCCACACTCATTTGCCTGCAGAACAATCTACACAATGAGGACTTCAAACCGTGGAATAAAAACCAGTCTTATGTTGACATTATTGCCAATGTGAGCCTGGGCCAGTACCCGAGCCTCAAATCTCACCTCTGAGTCTCTATTTAAATCCACCAGCTAATTTTAATCATCTCAAAGTGCTGCTCTCCCGACGTGGAAGATGTGGTTACTGTCTGATGATCAAAACACAGTCTTTGATCTACGACTGTTTTGTCTTGGTGAGCTTTTGGGATAATGAGATTAAATATTAATTAGAATGGAAAGTGTTGAGAAATGGGAAGAAGAAATGTGTGATTAGTGGAAGTAAGTGACTGGTCCATTTGAGGACCATTAATCTATAAACCAGACAATAACCGTTTTAAAAGAAAATATGACGAAAGCTTAAAAATCCAATGTCATGATTTAGGATTTCCTGTTAAAGAAAGTTTCAGTTGCTTGCGATTACCTTCACCAAGGTCCATAATGGCCAAGACAGCACTGCAGCTTGCCTCTCCCAGCTCATTGGTCGCCACACAGGTGTACAAGCCAGCGTCGCTTGTGCGGCAGTCCCGTATCCACAGTCCCCCTGAGTCCTGGGCCTCTGACGGAGGAAGGTGCTCCTCGTTGTGGTACCAGGTCAGCGAAGGTTTTGGAAATCCTGCCAGCGAAACCCTCAGTCGGATATCACAGCCTGTTCCTACAGCTGCCTTGCGGAGTTTACGGGTGAAAACTGGTGGCGTGGGTTCCTGCGTTGCGGCCCCGGCGTCTGGAACAACATGGACCTTGGTGACTTTGGGCCTCTTGGAAGGGATGTTGAGACTGGGACTGGATCCAGGGCCGTCTGCCATCTTGATTTCTTTCACACTTCTTTATGCAGACTGCACTTTTTATCTGGTAATTGATTGGGGTGTCAAGATGAGCTGCAGTTATTGAAGGCCTCTTCTGAAAGGCTCCATCAGTTCAGATATCTCTGGGCTCACAGGGAGTACGGAGGCTGTTGGACCTGGGCTGTTGCACTGGGAGCTGTAACAATCAGAGTACATCAATCAGAATGACATCAATTATCTTTAGACATTTTGAACTTTGACTACAGACAACGTTTCCTAATGAATGTGCTCATCACGGGAAAAAAAAGACATCATCATCATCCTTTGTGAAAATGGGTTAAAAAACCCGTATTTACATTTTTATGACAAGCAACCTCTTGCAGTAATGCGAATAGTGTCTTTCTCTCCATAGAAATGACAGCACTGGTTCAGAAAACAAGGCGGTACTCAACCTACTTTGCATGTCAAAGTCTACTGAAGTGCTACTCAGCCTGTGAAACAGTTGCATAATGTGTTCTGCTGCTCTTGAGGAGCGTCGTCAACTCTGAGAAAATTACTCAAGTGACAGCAAAGGTATCATAGCTTTGGCCTGTATAGTACATTTTTAAAACAAATCCTGAGTTACAAACTGGGGAAGATATCGCTGCATCTTTTGACAATCCCCCTTTTTTTTTGCAAGTCTCTCAAAATGTATGAAAGGCACTGAATCACTGGAGTACTCTTAGATGACATAACTCTTCTCTTATACTCTGGCTGTGTCTGTCACAGCTAATACGCCAAAAGCAAAGAAGTCCAGTCCTGACACCTCCACCCATTATAATGAATGTCAAGAAGCTACTGGTGTGTAGTTTATACTGAAAACAATGGCCAAGGGTTTTTCTTTTTTTGAAGTCTTAAGTGGGAGGTTGGAAGGAAGGCTCTTGGAAGGACTTTGACACCACAGACCGGAATTTGTTTCCCCTCTGCACCCCCCTATTCAACATTGGGAACCTTTCCCTAATAGTAACCAAGTGGTTATTGCTGGCTGAACTTAAAAAAAGGTCAGACTATTGTGTCTTTGTTTACTGTTTTTTTTGTTTAGGTTTTTAGGACTTCCTGCTATTTTTCTACTTTATTTCAAGTCATATTTAGAAAATAAATCTAATCACTATTCAAAATGGCAATAAATGGAACACCATAATTACTAATCAACGAATGGACGTCAGTATTTGGATTTGCTTCCTCTGCTAATTCATGACATTCCACTAATATGCTGATCCAAAGAGTTGCATAAAAATAGACTTTACCCGATAATAGGAAGAAATGCACCTTACCTCACTTTTGCCATTAAAGCCGAAAGGAATCCCTTTGGACATCCCCGCAAAGTCCAAGTTAAGGTAACAAGATCCATGGAGCAAAATATTTCATCTCAAATCATTTGCGAAAGCCTGTGTCTCTGTGTCCTTTAGTGAGCATGGGCTGTAGGTGTAAGTCCACCCTAGATCATGTAGCATTAGCAGCCACTGCCATGGTCCCTTTCAACAGCTTTAACCCCGCTGAAGAGTGGTGAGACAGGGAGACAGAGATCCTTTTTCCTAAATGTCAAACCACTCAGGCCTCCTGGTCTAGTGTGTTTTTCAGTAACTACCTTTGAGTACTATTTAAAAGAACACACATTTTTAACCTTTTTCTTTCCTAAGTACTTAGATCAGCTCATGTTATAGGTCTCCTCTCTCTCTCTCCAGTCTCCCACCACCTCACTGCTTCACCCCCCAAGTCCCTCAGGTTGCAAACGACAGCTGCACCACCACCACAGATAGGTCACATTTCTTGAGCTGCCATGTATGACCTACACACACACACACACACACACACACACACACACACACACCAAAGCTCCCATACTAAAAGCCCTGTAGATAGTGTTATCAACCAAAGTGAGTGTGCGTGTGTGTGTGTGTGTTTATGTGAGACAGGCAGAGACAGCGTGCGTGTGACAGTTGGAGCGGCTATAAAAAGAAAGTCTAAGAATAAAGACAGGACTTAGTGATTCATACAATTGTAGGACAGTGATATAACAACACAACATAATGTAACTGGTTGGAACAATTGCAGTAGACACAATAGAATTTCACGTTTAATACGTTTATTCATACGTGTTATTCTCCCCCACTTATTTCTTCATAAATCCTTATTGTTTATTTTTTTGGTTACATAAATCTACATGATATTTGGCCTTCAAAAACAAAACCTTTTCTTCATCTCTCCCTTGTGTGACTGAGGTTTCAGCCACTTATGGGCTTTTTAAATATGCAGCAATTTGTGAAACAGTTTTAAGATTTTATAAAATATAAGTTCACTGGCCCTTTTCATTTTTTTCATAGTTTATCTTCTTTAAATTACACAAATGAGGATACTCCTAAGCAAAATATTCCCTCAATTGCAGCTCTTTTATATGTCATAAACACACTGCACCTGCATGAAATATGAAGTAATTGTAGATGCATTAGTTATGAAGTTGTTATTCTGAGTTCCAGAGAAGTAATAGAGAATTTCCACTCTCATATCCTCCACAATCCCTGCATCTGGCCTGTTCAGTGCATCCTGGAGTCCTGCTCAGTCAGAGCTCACTCACTGGCTTTTAGTGGACAAAATACTACAAAATATCCAGCACAACCATGAACTACTGAGTCAGAACTTACTAACTGGAAAAGTAATGACTACCAGTATTTTCTCTGCCTCGAGTGAGGCAGGTTTGAAATGCTGGATAGGCAACTGTGGCCCCTAAAAAAATGTAAATCAATAACAGACTTTGCCAGGACGGAGCAACTTCTCCATCCTGTGCTGTTTGCCATTAGTCAATACCCTTAGGAGGTTGGCAGATGGGGGCGGGAAAAAAAATGGCAGGTATCAGCAACTCTCTAAGGATCTCTGCTTCACCTTCACAGCACCAGACCACTTTATATAAAACACAATCAAGGATTTGATGTTATCTCAGCAGAGAGAACAAAATCATGTAAAAGTGGATGTTTTGGATTTTTTTTTTCATCCTATGTTTTCTTTTCTTTCCAAAGCTGCAGTGTCTCTCCTGTTGAAACTCTTTTATATCTATATTAAAAAAGAAAAAAGTATCATCCTGAAATCCTTTAAAAGGCACCATCCCCATATCAACCGTCATATTTTCTAACTCTTGAATCAGCAATTTTCTTTCAGTCAGTTCAGCTTGGACTGTCTTTTTCTCTTCACTGAGAGTGTTGACAGAGAGAAACTTATGATGCCGGAGAGTTGCTGTCCCGTCAAATCTGCGACTTGATACCAAGACGTAACTGGACTGAATGAAGGTCAAGAGTTCAGACTGAGCCAAGGCCGAGTCCAAAAAAGCTTCAGTTCAAGTCAAGACCAACATCAGTTACATCAGTCAAACATAATACTTGAGAGTAACCCACAGTGTAAATAAGGTTTACGTGAGCAATATGATTACATACACAATAGTCTTAGCTGAAGATATCTGTCCCAGCAACAGGATATGCAGTATGTCACATGATGTAATATTTTTATTATTTATATATATGTATATTTTTTTTCTGTGCAGAAATGTTGAATGTTAGCCTTCACTTTAACACTGTGTTCAACTCTGTGACTCAGTGTGGAAATATTCTCCCTCTGTCTTTATATCTTTATACTCATTTCAATCCAGAAAGCTTTTTTGTTGTTGTTGTTTCTTACATAAATCTTAGAGATTATTTATTCATATACAGTACTATGAAATGTTGATACAGAGCCCAATTATGCTTCTAGAAGTAGTATTTAACTTGTGTGCACTACTAAATGTTAAAGGTGCAGCTCACCCAGACTCTAACTCAGCAGATGGTTATGGTTATATTTGCCCAAGCTGTAAGACACAACCGGCAACAGGTGGCATTACAGGTGAGATGAATAAACCAGACCCCTTATCAAGACCAAATTATCTCTGTGAATGCTCCGTGGCAAATGAAACTGTGCGATTCATTTCTCAGATAGCACGCATTAAGTTGTCAGAACTCAGGAGACAAATTGTTCAGTACAAATCAACACCCAGAGACATGTGAACGTGCTCGAAAAACAAACACTGCCACATACCTGCAGGAGGTGAAGAGATGGTGATCATCAGCTCTCTTGCACGTTTCGACCCTTTGGTGGTGAATTTATGGGCGCCGGGCTGGGAAAAAACAGCACACAGAGATAATGAGGCGTTTACCCTAGCTGAAGGTGGTCCAGTGGTGAGAGAAGTAATCTTATCTTTTATCTAAAAACAGCAGAACCACTATGTAGAAATGCTTCAATACAAGTAAAGACTCAGAATTAAGTATCAAAAGCAAAAGCCGTCATTATCCAGTGCTGGCATGCTGTCATTTAACCATTATTACTGATGCATGAAAGATGTATTTTAATGATTTATCTGGTTGAGATGGAGCTAATTTGAATCACTTCATATATACTGTTGGGTAATTTAATCCATAACAAAGCATCATGTCTTGTAAACTCTGGCTTTGTATGCAAGACGTTAATCTTAAAAGGTAGTATCTGGAGCCAGCAGATAAATGTAGTGGAGTAAAAATGACAATATTCCCTCCTGAAATGAAGCTGAGTAGAATTATAAAGTTAATTAACATGGGAATATTCAAGTAAAGCACAAGTACATTCACTCAGGTACTGCAGTTAAAACCTGCTGTCAACAAATTCCATGAAACAAACTAAACTAGCTATGAATAGCTATGAATTGATTCAATATCGTCTATGCAGCCGAAGCCAGATATACTGTATCTCATTACCCTGTGTTCGATTGTTGCCCCAAAACAATTGAAAACACACCAGTGAACCACATTTTTGCAACAAGCCTTAAAAAAAAAGGGGTAAAAAAAAAAAAAAAAAAGGTGTGCAACTTTCCATCATTGGTCACGGGCTATAAACCCAAATTACTTCTCAGATGTATTAAAAGAAACGGAATCACTCACTGGGGTTCTTAAACAGGTAAAAATAAAATAATAAACTGGAAAATTTAATTTGTTCTTCCCATTGTAATACAGACTCATTTTCTCAGTCGTGTGACACAGAGCAAACACTAAAAATCCTCAAGCGACAGACAATATTTGCCAATTATTGCAAATATTAAAGATGTTTAATTGCAAGTAACGATACCAATATTGAGGTATGATAAATTCTGTCTTATATGCACAGTTCAGTCTGGGTACCCCAGGGCTGTTTACTGTTTCAACACCTTCCTAACTCCTGGGCTGTGTGTGCATATGAAAAAAAAATGAAAAAAGAAACTGCATAAAAAGCCGCTGTCTGTTGTGTAGTCATCCACAACTGACAAGATGTTTTCTACAAGAGCGAAAATCGTCACCTGTGAGTATGGAACTTGTTCTGTTGTCTTCTACAGTTACCCTAACTGTAGAAATGGGAGCAAATTATGTTACATGTCTTCATTTAAGATCAATTATACTTTTAATTGATTCATTGTTCTTTTAGTCCTGGCTGCAGCTTGGTGTTGGTCATCTGAAGGTAAATTATAACAATTTCTATCATTCTCTGATTTCTTTTCTTCTGATTTTCTTGTTCGGTTTTACTTTTTTTGTTTTGTAATATCATGATTTTTATTTTTTATCTTGTCCTCTTTTTTGTTCTGTAAACTACCATTAAAATACTGTTTAAGAACGATGCCCTAATCTTTGACAAACCCTGTATTTTGTTTAGCTGAAGAATTCCTCTACGATGTGGCATGTCCTGGTGTAAATGGAGAGCTGAAATGCCGTATGTATTCTATTATCATTATTACTACTTCTTTAACGTCATATAAAATGCATTTACTCTCACCACCTTCAGGACCTTTAGATCTTCCCTCTCCTACTAGCACCAAATGACTATTTTGCTGTATAATTCCTTGTTTTGTGTATGTTCAGCTGAAGGACATGGAATTGTACTGGTGGCAATGGATTATGGTGTGAAAAGCTCTGCCAACTGTGATGCCAGACACCAGCCTGCCACGGTCTCAGAGAAGGACTGCATGCATACAGCGATGGCTGGATGGGCCAAGCAACTGTAAGATTGGTTTTCTATTTTGTTTTACATTATTATAGTGTTTCAGTTCGTAGACTGAGCAAAAACTCGGGATAGGTAAACTTTTTAAAGACATTTAAAGTCACAGTTTCAGGTTTTAACGAGCAACATTATCAGTAAGATGCTTCCTACAGATTTTACATGCATTACTAAAGGTTAAACCAGTTGTGAAACTTTCTGGCTTGTGACCCCTTACAAAAAAAGCAGGGTCTTGCAATGTTTCAGACTTCTATGTCGTTTGCAGTGCCAATATTTCAGAAAAAAAAGCTATTATTCGAGAACAGTCTAAATAATTAATACAAATGTCTTCTTTCCTGCGCCATTAATCACCTCATGACCCCTCGGATTTATCTTCTGACCCTTTGGAGGGTTTGACCCCTTAGTTTGGGAACCACTGGACTAAATAACCTAACTGAAAATACAGTAGTTAAAAAGTAGCTCCACTTCAACTGGCTACAACAGTAAAATGCTAATAAACATTAATGAAACAGTACGAACAACCTAATAATGTCATGTGCGATAACACATCAGTCACAGAGCCATTTTTCTGGAGAACGAGTACTTTAACTTTTAATACTTAAAGTGCTTTTCACTATATATACTAATAATACTTCTGTACTTTTATTTAAATAGAATTTCAGATGCGGGACAAATACCTGTATTCCTACATTGTTGTATAGGTACTTTTACCTTGTACTTTTTGGTCATTCCCTGTAATTTGAATTGCAAAATCTTGCTCTGCTTAGATGAATGCTGCTTCTATTCAATTCAAATGTCTAACTGTCTGTGTGAAGATATCCTCTTGTGCATAAAATAACCTTGAACGTTGTAATATTTCTCCAGCTGTGACTCTAAGGAACACTGCCTACTGCCCAAGCTCAATGAGAAGATGTTTGTGTGCGATTACTCACCGGATAACTTCCTTCAAGTCACCTACAGGTGTAACAAGATCACCGGTGAGTATTTTCAAACACTCATTGGTTGACAGTGAAAATGTTGAGATGATTTTTAAGATTTCAAGGTAAAATCTCACTTTATCTGCGGATATTTTGACAGATGTGGACACTGCCATTATATGTGAAGGAGAAAGTGCAGCTATTCAGTGTGGTAAGATTGCGTCGATAATAATTTCTGCATGGAAATATTTGGATATTAAAAAAGGATCACACATCTCTCTAAGATATTCTTTCGAAACATATTTATACTCATCTTCCTTTAATCCGGACTTCGCTTTTTGAAAGTTGGCATATAGGTATTTAATTCTAATAAGGTTTGTATTTATTTATTTTGACGGGTTTATCAAGCAAGCTGCATCAACTGGGAACTTGTTATTGAAATAAACTTTGTCTGTGCCATCCTTAGAGGAGGGAGCCCTGCATATAATGAATTCCAATTTTGGACGTCTTGATGCGAACACCTGCAGCGAAACCCCTTCAAAAAAGACCTTCTGTACAAGTGCTGTGGCTCATCAGAGAGTGAAAGAATTGTGTGTATTGGACCAAAAGACAAACTAAATATTTGTTCTGAATTCTTGTTCTTCTTGAATATATTTTCATATATGTAATTAATTCATGTCCTGGTTTGTGTTTCCATTAATAACCGTTGCCTTTCTTTAACATGTATTGTCAGGTGTCATGGAAAAGAAGAGTGCAACCTCACAGCCAGTGCTGAACATCTGGGAGAACCTACTTTCTGCGATGATAATCCCTTGTACCTCTCTGTGGATTACATTTGTTACTGATCGGTAAGAGTAACAAAGGATATGTGCTGTGCATGATTTAAGAAACAGCTAAACCATTTCACACGTCATGCTATGTTTTCTTGTCATTTTTAGGAGATTTACCTCTGACATCCATGTCCCAGAGAGGAAAGGCAGCTCTTCATCATGGGTTTCATCCCATTCTGTGGCAGCAATCACAAATCAAACATAATGTGATTGGATTAATCAAATTAAAGCAGTGCAAATAATGATTGTGTTTTTGTCTTTTTTTTTGTCACATCTTAACTTCTCACTTTAAAATGATATATGAACACATCCTATGATGCCAAATATGAATTTTTCCAAACTATTCAGTTATTACACCGTTTTCTCCAATTTTTGAAAAAGCTTGAATTCATTATTAAACTGCAGGAATTACAAGATATGCGTATGGCCACAGAATAGCACCTGCATTTCCTCCATCTTTAGTATGTTACTCTTACTACCTTCATAGGGGTTTCAAGATTTTTTAAGCAAGAGTAAATGTGTAAATTCAACAACAAATGTAATGCCTATATAGTTTTCATCTGGTTATGTGTTGTATTAGCGCCCTCTACTGGTAGATACAGCACGGTACTCACACCAACCGTTAGGGCCAGTCTTAATTTTTCTTGCAAGATACCTACATCTTATGGAAGTTAGACAGTTTCACAAAAACAAAGACGTATTTTAAACCTACGTGATTATCTAATGGTTACAAGCAGTGGAAGACGCTGACGAATGGCGCCAAATGACAAAAAAAGAGAAGAAAACTAAAGAAAACATGGAAAAGATCAGGTAGGTGCAGAGCAGGTTTCTCAGCAAAAAAAAAACATAGCAACCAGTGAGGCCGGACTGTGGAATGTTTATTAATGATAGTAAACTTCGTGACGCTGTAGAAAAATTGTACACATTTGATGTGCTGTGTATGTACACAAAATGCAAATCTACCTGAGTCGTGGAAGAGGCCGCCCTGTCGTCCATCTTGAAAATTTACTCCACCTTTCAGCAGCTGCGACAGAGATAAAACTGAAGGAACCACCTGCCCTCTGATTGAACCCCGCTTTGTGATTGGACTGTTATTGTCCAATCAGATTCAGGTGATAAAACAGGATCAAACTTCATAAATTCACCACTGACATCAGTTGTTCAGTTATTTTATTAAAAGGTTGTTGTTTTCCACAAATATAAAAATTTTCTACAAAAGTACAAAATTAATCTCTCATGCATATTTATTTTACAAGATTACACAGGCCTATTTACAACAACAAACATTTATTATTTGTATATAATTTGTATATATAACATCACTGGCTCAAAATCTTTTTGACCCTAATTTGAGCCCATAGATCTGCATCTGGCTGTTTTACCTCATGTTAAAAGACACCATGTCACTGTTTTCCTGCTCAACATCCATCCAGTGTCGTCAAAACTGTCTGAAATCACTCTTTTGTTCACTTGTTTACTCTGTGGTGAAGAATAAATTCAGATTTCAGAAAATTACTGATGATCATCACTATCAGCTGTTGAGTCGCACATTGGAAATGATCACATCATTGTATTGTTTTTTGAGGGCTCTACATAGTGAGTATATATACACACATATTTAAAGAGATAAAATGGTGGACAGTAGTGCACTATATAATAAGTATGGAGGGATTTTTTTTTCCAAACTTGAGTGGTTCACTTTAAGAGTCAAAGTCCACTTATTAAAAACACAGACTTTACCGACAAAACATCTCAGTTAAAGATTACAGTGAAACAGTAAAACAGAGATTCCTTCTCACACTTCTGCTTCAACTTAATTTGAGCTCTTTGGAAAGGCATTGGTCCCCCTCACGGAGAGCGGCAATCAGAATTGAGCTGGCTTGAGTCCCCTTTCTTCGCACAATGTCAATCATGTCTCGGGCTTTTTCTGTTTTGATTTGAGGTGTGAGTGACTGCATTTCGCCGTCATTTACAACGCCACTCTCAAAAAGTTTATCTAGAACCTCGTTTAGAACAGATTCAGACACTCTATAAATAAACTGTCTCCGAATTAAGAGCAGCTTGTCCTCTGCTGGGAGGCTGTCCTCTGCTGCGAGGCTGTCCTCTGCTGCGAGGCTGTCCTCTGCCGGGACGCTCCTCTGTACAGTTTCCCTTCTTGGACCACCTGGTAGAAAAGACTTGTTCAATAACCAACAATCACTTTTAAACAGAGATCTAGTTACAAAAGACCAACAGAGATGAAATGCCATGTCTTTTTGTCTGCTGCAGCATCTGCTCTGTAAATCACTTGTCCTGTGTTCAGAAACCAAAAATGAGAAATGTATCTTATATTTTTTGGCCTGTCTCTTGTAACACCAGCACTCTGACAGCCTGCCAGCTGCTGTCAATCAAACACAGAGGAGTTCGACCGCTGGCTGATTCAGGACTTGATGGAGCGCTGTGTGAGTAGAAATAATTATAGTCCTTATTTTCTAAAATTGACTTTGATTTTAACTTTTAAGGTTTGCACACAAAGGTCTTAAGTCATGCCTATTAGAATTTTCTGGCTCACAGGTCAAAGTTTTCAACCATTTCTTACTAATTTTATACACACTGATAAAAGCAGACTGAAGATGATCAAGAATAAAGGCACACTGGATCAATCAATAACCATTAATCTGTTCTCTGTTCTTTTCTATTCGACTATCAGGTGAAGTGATGCTGTAGGCGGATGAAGACTTTACCAGTCAGGTCGACTTCACGCTCCCAGACAACTGCATTTGTTTGGTCTCGGACTGTTATAGTCGCCTCTTCTGTGTCTGCAGGCAGGCGAATCTCAAATGTTGGGTGGTAATTTGGTCCAAAATCCAGGTCAAACTCTTCTTTCTGAAAACCAGTAGCACCAGTGTCAGTATCTCTATGGACTCCAAAGTAAATTTAATAATAAAAAACCTTTTATTTGAAATACTCACGTTGGGTTGTATTTTATAGGCCTGCGAACAGTGAACAGAGTAACACTGATCTTTGATGAGTTTGCATTTGGATGGCGCCTCGATGTACTCAGAATTCCGCTGTTTTACGCTCACCTGAAGAACAATCATAACATTTTCATTAGAGGGTTCTTCCTCAGTAGAGCCCGACTGACACTCTGACTGTACTCCAGCCTTCCTGGGTTAGCTGGCTCTGTGGGCTGGTGCCAGGCTTCTGGTAGCAGTGAGCGACGTATGGGGCTGGACGGACAGGGTAGTAAAGACATTGCCTTATTCTTGTCTTTGTTAAATTACCCAGGTTTTGTCAAGTTTCACAATAAAAGGATTAAAGATTTTAGACTCAAAGTGAAGCTGTAGCATTTCATTAAACTTTACCTCGTCAAGGGGGATGTTTCTTGGCAGGAGATACACATTGAGGTTTTTCCTCTGTGTTTTTGGGTTGGGTGGTCGGAGGAACAACAAAATTTGGCTGCTAATTAGTTTCCTGTTGTCCCACAATCTCCATAAAATATCAAAAGGCCAGGCTAGGCCAAAGGAAGATAGATGAGGGACTTTGACAATCACATGAGTGTCTGTGATCTCCAGTGGTTTGAGGACACTCATTCCATCATGAGTGATGTGGATGACAGACAGCAGGCCATCAGAGAGCAGAGCTGTGAAAACACAGAGACATTCAATATCTTGTTTTAGTGACGACAGCCTCGTTACAATGGTAGTGATTATTTTATTCTATATCTAGGACACTTAGTCTAGTCATTTAAGAATTAAACAGTTGCCCACTTCAGGAAAATTCACTGAACACAACCGTCAGCATTGGAGTCAAAGAGTAAAAGATAATGGTGTTTCATATATTTAGGATCCCCAGATTATAAATCCTGATGACTTAAGTGACCTCCTGATCTTTCCTGCGCTATCCTGAGGACAAAATTCCCACCATGTATTTGTGAGAGCCCCAGGACGTCCACATTAACCAAGTGTGCACCAGCGAGCTCTGATAAACTTCGTCATGCTTGAGGTCTGAATGGTCACTGTGGCTCTTACCTGACCTACGTCATAGTGTGGGTGTTGGGACAGTGGTTGTGATGGACTCTGCAGCCTAAAGTGGACACTTACAGGACGTTAGTTTCATTACTGCCATAAAAAAAAAAACACAATTATTTGCTTACCATGGTTTGTTTCACAATGTGGAAGGTGGAGCTGACAGACGGCTTCCTCGGGACACTTGATATCGAACAGCGGCCCTGCAGCTATCTTGCCAGCTCTTTGGAGGAGGCTCTCATCCCATTGGACAGTCTTGTAGAATAGCGCCGCCTCACGCGCCATAACAAACACCAGTCCAGTTAAAGCACACTGGAACTCACCTGGACCAGGACACCTGAAGCTATAGGACATAGACATCTGAATGACCATGATGAACAAACACAATATGACAGTAAAGTTACACGCTCAGCATCGAGGGAGAGAGCGGGAAAAGAGCCATCCATGAGAAAGCTGGAAGTGAGAAGAAGAAGGAGGCACTTTGTCTAAAACAGCATTGAGTGGTTTTATTATGTGATTACCTGTATGAGACTCGCGTAGATTCAGTTTGCAGTTTAGGCGTGAAGCTTGATGGAGGCTGGGATTCAGAAAGGAACAACATCAGTTAAAAAAATAACCAACTTGTGTTCATATATTCTTACACAGTCCATACTTAACTGAGCAGATTGAGTGTGACACAACTAGAAAACACCATAGTAATTATTTACAGATGACATCTGAGTGGTTTGAAGCACGGCTGTACGTCTATCCTGTATCTGGAACCTGTTTCAGCTCCCCACCTGACCAGTGTTTATTATATCAGAGTTATTTCCAGTGTTTGCCTCAGCATTGTCTCCCGTGTTCTTCTTCCCATCATGTCTCCTTGTCCATCCACACCACTTTAGCGCCACCTGTCCTCTGTCTCAGCCAGCCTCCCATCTCTATTAACCATTTCCCCTAATTCCACAATAAATCCACTGTCTCCTTGTGTCTGTGTTTGGGTGCAGATTCGAACGAGCAGTAACAGATTCTGCGGTCTGTGGGGAAATAACTGACTTAAACCAAGAAAAGTTTCATAATTTGTCAAAGTATAGTAAGTCATAAAAATGGTAATAGGCAAGCGTCTGCTCAAGAATAGCTGAAGAGGATGATACTAGCTCGAACTATGTGAAGGTAGCCAATCTCACAGAAATCTGTCCAGATTCTGAAATTGCTTGAAATGACAAATTAAGGGCAAAAATTTAAATTGAATCTGCACAGTGTCTGTCTGTCTTAAAAAAATGAAATGTTCCTTTTTTTTTTTTTTTTAATTGTAAAATGTTGAGAAACTCCTCTATCACACACTGCAAGCATCTATTCTACATAATAGATGTTTGAATTCTTTGAATATTTGTTCATTTCCTGCATGTGTGTTGAGGCCTGGAATATCAGTACACAGTGGGTGGGTTTTCCTCTCACCGTCATCAGCTCTGTGTCGTCCTCAGATACGTCCATATTTATGTCTGCTGTGTGTGGCTCCTCTACGATACCAGAGTCATTTGCTGGAAGGAGGAGAAAAATGTCAGAAATCAGCAATCCCTGTTCCTTCTCGTCATCAGATCTGAGTCAGAGAATGTGAACAGAGTCCAACAGCGGCAGCCCGAAGCCTCCTGTCATCGCTTTCCACTTTCCATGTGTCCAAATACCCGCTACTGTGTCAACATAGCTAGTCGTTTGTAGCTTCCTTTACTCAGTGAAATTCACCATCCACACGTTTTTATGCATTAACTCTGATATACAGTAAATATTTGGTTGAAGAAATGAGCACACATTCATTGTGCAGTCAGATTTTTTTGATGACAGATTGAGTAATAGGAGACACTGTCTCAGTACTCACATGGTCTGTAAGGTGCTCTCATTCCATCGGCCCTGCAGGAACAAACACAAACACAACCACAACAGTTACAAAGTGAGAGGAGAACAATCAGGTTTTGTTTTAGTTAGCTTTACTAAACCCAACACTGAAAATCCCAAATCAAAGTGGACTGAAAATGCCACAAACATTGAATTTGAACCAAATTTGAAGAAATTCCCTCAAGGCGTTACAGAGTTCAGGATGTATGTATGGACACATAATCCAGACACATAATGCCTCATGTAAAAGAAATCTCACTTTCCACAATATGGGATCTCTAACGTTAAAACAAACTATGAGCTTGGGTAAGTGAACTTGTATCAGCTCATTAGAAACAAGCAATAGTCACTGTTACCTTTTTGCCTTGATCAGAAGCGGCTGACTCTGCCAATAACTCTCCATGCCACACGTTACTGGTAACCAGCCGGTCAACCCCACATCCTTCAATGGCTGGGGGTTCAGCACTTGCAAGGGGTCAGATGCCTCGTACTTTACACAGACTCTGGGAACTGACTGGAAAACTGTCTGTAATGCTGGAAGGACACTCAGACCTGTTTCAGTCTCATAGTCCTTCACATGGGAGAAAAGATCCAGCTGGAATTCAAGACGATGTTTCCTCATTTCATTATCATCATCATTATCCATGTTTGTGTGATAAAAAGGGAAGGTTTCATGTCTGCACACTGAGGATAACAGCTCCAAGATCTTGTCTCCTGTCTGCTGTTCTCTCTCTGCTGCTGCACAGAACAGATTGGCAAACAACTCAGATGGATCTGAGACTCCTGTAAACCAGGAAGAGAAACTGGAACCAGAACAAAACATTTTGATATGATGTTAGTAGCAGAAAGAGAGACACATAATACTGACATACAGGGAGTGTAGCTGCTAAAAGTCCACCAAATACCTGCTAATCCGCACAATAAAGTAAAATCAATCAGTCTAGAGTTCAACTAACAATTACAATGGCTTTGACTGACTAACTTCACAAAATAATTCATGATTTTATCCTCAAATCATTTATGAATCAATTAAATCTGAAGCCTGAAATGATAGACCGCAATTTTGAACACGTATCATTCAGTCCTCAAAGTGTGAACGACTTCAAAGAAATCTCTTCAGATGACTCATACAGTAAATCCAACATTACATTGATGTACTTAAACAAAAACACAAGAATAAAGACTTGGTCAAAGCCTAGTATATGGCTGGGCCGTGTATGATCAGTGATTGAGGATGCAGTTGAAGACTGTTGAGGAATTTTGTCATAATTTTGTATGTGAATTCTTGATCTATAGCTATGTGCGGTCACCGTGACCTTTGACCTTTGACCACCAAACTCTAATGAGTTGATCCTTGACTCCAAGTGAATGTTTGCGCCAATTTGATGTAATGTTCATGTAGACTGATCAATTGAGCACATCACCTTAAGATGAAAACTAAAAGTGAGTTGGTGTAGATGTAAGAGCACAACTCCATCCATTTACCTGAGCTGTGAGATGTAAGGCAGACACTGCAGGAAACTCCTCCCTTCACTGTCTTCATGTGACCAGCCTGTCAACACCACTTGTTTCTTCTCTGAATGGAGCTTCAGCACCTCCAGGAGGATCGAGGACTTTCTCTTTGAGAGGTCTATGAACCAGACCGCAGGAGCTGACTGGAAAACTGACTGTAATGCTGGAAGGACACTCAAACCTGTTTTAGTCTCATAATCCTTCACGTGGAAGAAAAGATCCAGCAGAAAATCACACTGATCTTTCCTCAGAAGATCATTATCCATGTTTGTGTGATAAAAAGGGAAGGTTTCATGTCTGCACACTGAGGATAACAGCTCCAAGATCTTGTCTCCTGTCTGCTGTTCTCTCTCTGCTGCTGCACAGAACAGATTGGCAAACAACTCAGATGGATCTGAGACTGTTGACCAGGGAGAGAAACTGGAACCAGAACAAAACATTTTGATATGATGTTAGTAGCAGAAAGAGAGACACATAATACTGACATACAGGGAGTGTAGCTGCTAAAAGTCCACCAAATACCTCAAAAGAATCAAGACTAGGTCAAAACATAGTATATGGCTGGACTGCGCATGGTCAGTGATTGAGGACGTGGTTAAAGACTGGTGTGGAACTGTTATAAACAAATAACATCAGATCCTATCTGCAGTCTTCCTTTCTCTGTTTGCTTCTCTCCTACAGTCTGTGCTCACATATATAGTATTCTAATGCAGCCAAACTCCCATTTAGCTGTTCTCATTTACATGTTTTTGCTGTTTCTGTTGTCAGACAACAGAAGTTTGAAATAGTGACTGAAACACAGCCCATTAAGACCACATGTTAACCACCCGCTGCTCAAATCCTGATTCCAAGTGAGTCCAAGTGAATGTTTGTGCAAAATTTCAAGAAATTGCCTCAAGGTGTTCCTGAGATATCGCGTGATGGAATGAACGGATAGACGGTCAGACAGTCGGATGGACAGATGGACAACCAAAGCTGATGTAATGTTCATGTAGACTGATCAATTGAGCACATCACCTTAAGATGAAAACTAACAGTGAGTTGGTGTAGATGTAAGAGCACAACTCCATCCATTTACCTGAGCTGTGAGATGTAAGGCAGACACTGCAGGAAACTCCTCCCTTCACTGTCTTCATGTGACCAGCCTGTCAACACCACTTGTTTCTTCTCTGACTGGAGCTTCAGCACCTCCAGGAGGATGGAGGCCTTTCTCTCCGAGAGGTCTATGAACCAGACCGCAGGAGCTGACTGGAAAAGTGCTCTCAGTTTTGGAATGACACTTGAACACCCCTCACTCTCCACATGTTCATAAAAATCAAGATAGATGTTACTGTTGTCATTTGCAACAGAAAACAATGAGAAGAGCGCATTCACTACATCGAGAACACTCTCTCCTTTGTGAAGTGCTGCTTTCAGGCAAAGGTCCAGCATCAGCCTCTTTTCTTCCCTCCCCAGTGAACCATGGTGCTGGTGCTGGTCCTGGTCCTGGTCTTGAAATCCTGGACCTCTATAGGTCTTCCTGAAGCTGCATGATAACAAACAAATACATCAAACACATTAGTACTGCATGTACCCCTGAACTGAGCCACAGCAAATGTACTACACCTGTTGCACATGATCACTGTAAAGCCATGTGAACTTTGCGAGCTCCCAAGCTCTAAAAGGTTTTGTAGTTTGAAAATCTGTGCATAGTTAGTTTAGATCAACATGAACGCAGTGTTTAAAGATGGGTGGGGTCCGACAACTACTGAATAACAAGATGGTCTCTAGTTCCACTCTGTGGTGAATTAGTTATCTGGAAACAGGTTCAAATTTCTTTCTACTTGGTGAATTAACTTTTTTATTTTTTTTTATTGGTGATGATAACCTAATAAATTCTCCCTCTCTAAGGTTTTCTATGATAGATGAATCACATCCAAAACTGGAGGTCTGATCTGACCATGGAATAAGCTCATCCTTGAGCTTTAATTCAGAGTTTACAAATACTGTATTGTTCAGCTACCCCAATTGAAAGCTTTTTTTTTTTCTTGTACTCTAATTTGAAAAGCCAGTAATTCAACCACCAAAAAAGAAGGATTTTCATTTCAACTCAGCAAAGTTACATACCTGAGTGAGCTGATGTGTGGCCAAGCCTCTAAGAGGAGCTCGCATAGACTTTGACAGACAGGAGTCGGCCTGTCCCAGTAGAGACAGACATTAACCTTCGTAGGAATCTTCTGCATGACTTTAACAGCTCTTTCAAACAGCTGTCTTTTACCCTCAACTGGAAGGTGCAACCAATTTCCATCAAGGGCAAGTAAGCTGATGTGGTCCATCGGCCCCTCACCGAGAAGGAAAATCTTCCACAGCTGCCGTGGGAGAGGATCACACCTACAATTTGAAGAATAAACAAAGACCTTGTGCTCATTATAAAAGCAAGCAACAGCAAAGGATAATTGTCATTATATCTTCCATTCTTATTCCGATACTCTTTTAGGGTACGACAGTTTCTACATTATATGTGGTACCTAAGCAGCAATTTGACAATTAAAAACACATGCACACCCATACCATTGGACATTTTTAAGGCATCCAAACAGGCATCTCATTCCATGTTCTGATACCATGACGTCTTCAAGGTTCAGCTGGATTTTCTTCTTTGACTGAGTGACCACGTAGGCCACGGCACAGCTAGAGTAAGGATCAAGGATCTCTCCAGCGAGATCCAGACAGTAGTCCAGTTTGTCCAGAAGGTAGATGCATGCGTCAGGACACTGGGACTCATACAGGCACCGGCATAAGAACAGTATGTCCACGTCAGACCCACTGTCCTCAGTATCAGCCTCATCTTGCTCACACAGACAATGATAAAATGTGGTTGTCATTTCTTTAAAGAACCAGTTAGATGTTTTCTTCAGCTCCTCCGCTGGAATCAGACACTTCATCAAACTCGGGCTCTTCTCACTCAACAATCCACACATGAAAGGGATCAGGGGCCTCATGTGTTTCATCTCCTCAGTCAGGCACTGCTGAAGAACATCCTTCGCTTTATCTGGATTCTTCAAGAGCCACAGTGCAGCGAAAAACTCCTGCATTGTGTAATGAAGAAATGCATGTGTGGCATATCTTTCAGTCAAGTTTCGTTGGATAACAAGCGGTTTCAGGAAGGAAAGGACAGAGCTGTCATAGCAGGGCAGTTCGGTCAGGTTCGCAGTTTTTCCTCCAGTTGCTTGAAAAGCAACCTCAGCCAGAGACAGTATTTCCATCCCCTTGCTGTTGATGTAGGACTCTAGATGCCTGATTTTTGTTTTGTTGCTATTCCTTTCAAGGCAAAAACGAACAATACTGACGTATACTTTAGTTATAGTGCAGGGCTGTGGGTCTTCTGATGAAAAGCAGGCAGCCACCATCACTGCATACATTGGGACGTAGCAAAGTGTTAACAACTCCAAGTTGCTCCAAACTTTATTCTTTTGTTCGCCGAGTGTTGCAGAGAAGTATGTTTCTATGGACTGCTCACTAAAGCCTTTCACCTCCACTCTGAGAGAGTCCCAAGAGAAGAAGTCCTCCTCGTCATCTGGTCTGCACGTTATGATGATTTTCGCATCAGGTAGTAGGTCTTTCTCTACAAGTCTTCGCACCACTGATGAAGAAAGATCTGTGATTCCATCAAAAATGATTGTAACACTGTCAGAGTTCTTCTTCATATCAGCTAAAACCTCTTCTTTGAATTCGTCTGGTTCACTGAAAAGAAGCTCCTCTAAGCTCATGCTCATGAAGTCGGACGTCATTTCTCTCATGTTAAAGTAAAACATGTAATCCAGCTCCTTGCTGTCGCTTTCTGCCCAGACTTTCAACATTTCCTGAGTGAGTGCTGTCTTTCCAATTCCAGCCTTACCAACTAAGACTATGTTTTTATCTGTTTTCAGCAGGTCACCGGGGGAAATTTCTGATTTCTCCTCAGGCAAGTACGTCCTTAGCTTTTGAGGGCGACTCATCTTCTTGCTCTTCAATTTCTTTATTTCAGATGTAGAAACACTTCCTTCTGTGTCTAATACCAGTGGCGTGTATGACAGATCAATCTTGTGGCTGTCATCGAACAGATCTTTGTTTGCCGTCCAAAACATATTTGACATTCTTCTTGCTTTTGACTTCAGCTTTGCCTGATATCTGTGGCACGGCCGTGAACCTAAAAACAAAACCAACAGCAAAGTAAATAAATACTGTGAATTGACTGTAGTGTCCTTGCACACTCCTGCCAAACAGTGGATAAATAATTGCACACACAGACACATGGAAGTGCATTAAATACAATCAGCACATCAGTGATAAATAATATGAAAGAAATTATCAATCAGAATTCAGAAACAAAAATACCTTGTAAGTAGTTAATATCCATTTGCGTGTCTTCCTTGAAGGAATAGCAGCTGATCCAGTGGTGCAGGTCAAACGTCTTGGTCTCAGTCCAAGCTCCGCTCTTGTCGTAAGGGGTGAGGGATGCCGTCCCTAAGGTCCTCTTCCTCGTCATGTCAATAATCCTGAGAAACTCGTAACAAGCTGCTTCCCCTTTTTTCATGACCAAGTCCAGTATTTTTCTGATTTTATCGTAGTCATTAATCTCTTCCTGTATTCTGATAACCTCTTCATCACTAAAAACATTACGCTGATACAAGTTCTCCACAATCACAGAGAGATTCTTTAATTCTCTCACAAGGTGGACTCTGGCTTGCCTGACATAGTCGAAGGCAGACTGTGATGAACAAGCCATTTCTTCTATTTGTTCTGCACACAGACCCAACTTCAATGATCTGGAAAAGAAGATACAAGAAATAAAACGTTAATTAAAATAACTCTTTTGTCTGCGATGCTGTCCGAAATCTTTTACAGTAACAAATATTTTTGCAGGAATGTTCAATCTTCATGCAGCTGGATCATTTTAACAGTTTGACATCAGTTTCTAATGGTGTTAATCCTGGATGGATATTTGAGTCCTTATGAAGAATGTGCAGACCAAAATAACAGTAGGGAATCCAAACACTCCCAGTCCTTTATAGTCTCATGTCTCATGCTGGCAGATCCACTGCCACACTGCATGTATATTGGCTGCAACACAAGGGCCTTGCTGAAACCAACTGTGTTGAGATAGTTTAAAAATGCTCTGACTTGTTTGTTTGAAAGACAGTTTGATTTACTCACTACAATCTGTTTTAAGCAGTGTGCTCTGACTGTCCAACATCCAAATGAGAGAAGAGAGGAGTTGATGATACATTTGTCTGACCAACAGTCCAAAACCCAAAGATATTCAGGTTGACTACAAAGAAATGCATCAAATCCCCACCTTGAGAAACTGGAGGCAGCAATTTTTTGGCATTTTTTTTCTGAGAAAAAAAGGATTATTCACTTATCAAGTTAGGTGCAGACTAATATTCTGTCAATCAACTAATAGTTAAACTGATTAATCGTTGCAGCTCTCTTTGAGAACATCTACTAAACCTAAGAAAGTACAGGACTATGTTCCTTTAAGTTAATATGCAAATTACATATCATTATTTATTATTTCAGGTTTCTCAATGCAACTAAACATGTTTCTAAACAGGATTAAAGCATTAATACTACATATAGTATCATTTATTATCAATCTTAAGCTGCAAAGTAATTAGTAACTGAATGTATTGGGGTACAATACTTAGTTATTCATAGTCTATGAACTGCTGTGGAGTGCAACGTGTCAGGAAGTAAAGTACAAGCTGGGATGTAACTTTTAAATAAAGCGGATCAGCTGAGCATCACTTAACGTACAAGTGACGCGACACTGGCGGCAAATTTATAAACGTATTCAGCACCCACAGGTACTTTCTTCAAAGTGGAAAAGAGTAATGATAAGTGGAAACAAAGCGGAGGCCAGTGTGGTCTCTTCTTCACGTACAGAAATAACCGGAAGGTGAAGGCGACAGGTTCCGTGTGTTAGCATACAACAGTTTAGCACTTCCACAGCAGTTTTTACAACGGTTTAACCCTTCTTACCTGTGTGGCACCGGGTCACAGACAGATTTTCTTGGCCCTCATTGAAACTTTGACTGGCGTGCGTCCTTTCTGTTCATTACTTTCTGTCATACTTTCACTTTCGTTGCATTAAGTCACATCCTGTATGAGGAGGAGCTCTCAGTCACATCCACAAGATGGCGCCTTTAGACCAGAAAACGTAAACTCAAACCCAGACACCCAACAGGAGTAAAATGTATAACAGAAGCTCTCCTGTGGGTGTAATTGTGCTTTTGAGACTCTGAGAGTTAATGCAAGAAACAAGAGTCAACACGTGTCTGTTGGAATCACTGGCTGCAACAAGTCTGTAAGGTCAATACAAAGACATGTTTTAAATGTACACTAGCTCTCCAGGTATGTAACCATAGAAATTGTATTAGAGCTGACAATTCATTAAAGCAAGTAATCCTTCACTACATTGTTTTTTGTCTATGCTTCTGCGAACATCTGGTCTTTGACCTGTTAAATTGCTGATAAAATGTCCTTGTACAGAAACACACATTATGAAAAAATATTTTGCAGAGGCGCAGTTCAAGGATTCAAGGCCAGTCAGATAAAAGCAGGCACACACAGGTTTCCCTTACAGTAGACAAAGACTTTCTGTTTAGTGGGAAAACAGGTGTGTGTTGTGTGTGAGGCATGGCTGTATTCTATAAATGAATGTTTTTAGCTTCAGATAATGCAAACTTTTCATAGTGTGAAACATTTTGTATAATTGCTGGAGCCTATTATTATCCAAATAACACAGGTAATGATAATTTTGTGAAGGAACATATCAAAATATAGTGAGGTGTATGTTAAAATGTTCCCATACAGCAAAAAAAAAAGCTCATATGTGACACTAGTCACACAACAGAGTGTAAAAAACTTTCACAACAGAATCTGAGACTAAACTAAACATTTCCATCTTCTGTGCTTTGCATTAGTAATGCACGTGTACAGCATGTGCCAGTGGCTGCGGTCTGGGCCTTTGCTCAAGCTATAAGTCAGCTGAACCACCCAGAAGCAACTCTTAAGAGAATAAAACATGCAGACACATTCCCTCCATGCTGTGTGAAACAGCTACAAAACAGATAATGCAATATCCCAACCGTCAAGGCCATTCCTTGCTATCTTCCATTTGTGTGTTGGCAACAAAATGCTTTTGTTTGCAGACTTCACACAGACCCAGATAGCTGCAGAGCCAAACAAATACATGTGAGAATAAGGAAAGTCACAGAAGGGAAGCAGTTTTGTGGAGCTGATTGGACCTCCATCTCGAGGAGAAGAAACTCTGTGCTCCTCTGGACCAGTAAAAAGTCAGACTTCCTCTCTGGACTTTTTTGTTGTCGAGTGGTTGTCTTACACTGCAGTCATGGTGTCCTGTGCTCTTCTCATTCTGGGTCCTCTGTGGATCCACAGTCTGCTTCAAGCCTGCAGAGGAGAGGAGCTGTCTGGGGAGGCAGTGTTGTCGTGGTTCAGAGAGCGGGTCCTGGGGGGCCTCGGGCTGGAAGAGCCACCTGCGGCCACAGTGCAGGGTCCTGATGTGGATATGGCACAACCAGAAGCACGGCACATGCATCGTAGGGCCCCCAGGACTAGCAGGACAACATGGGTCAACCATCAAACCCGTCTAAACCAGGAAATGTCTCAAATGATTATCTTTCCCAGTTCTGGTGAGAATCTTTTGTTTGTTTGTATGTTTTTTTGATCCTTAAATTCAAGACAATAATTCAAAAAGCTAAGTGTAGAACACAGCACGTTATAGTCATCATAGACAGTTTTATCATAGTTTTCTTGTGCATGCTCAGCAAAGCTGACCTAATCATGTGAAAATGAATTGTGAAATTGAACTTTATCCAGTCAGCAACTGCATGTTAGCGTCTGCTAAATAAACATCATCTGATTATTTCCAGACAACAGTCTTCTTTGGAAAGTTTAGAGTTTGCAGATTATAGATGAAATAACATATAGATAATTTAGGGTGAACGAGAAAGTTGCTCGGTGAGTAGAAGATGTTTTTCAGGAGAAGAATCACTCAACCTATGATTGCCATGAAGTGAGTTGCGCTAAAGGATCTTAATTACAAATATTCTGAAATGTCTCATCTTTAAGTTTTCTGTGTGCTGCAGATCTGAAACGAATAAAGCCAGATAGTTGCACTTTAACATTAGTTTATGATATAAAAAAATGAATGTGTTCATGGAAACAATCGAGAAGGGATTTACTTTAAGGGTATAGATTTTTAAAGGTCAGATGTGGGCTTTGTTGCACCTGTAGCTATACCAGACAGTGCTGTCATCGTGTCCTGGAGTACACCTGTGCATCACTGCATATTAAGTGACTCTTTAAAATTACTGATGGTATTCTGATGACTTCCTGTTTGCATGTGTTGATCTGAAAGAGTCCACACACTGAGGCCTCCTCTAGATAACAGCAGGACTCTGATGAAGCCCCAAAGGAGTTACAATATATTAATAATTAATAAACTTCACTGACCTCTCTCTAATCTTTCTTTGGCAGACTCATCTTGTGCCGAATCTGACTCAGCTCCTGGAGAAACCCCCGAAAGCCACTTCACATATTACTTCCAGCCGTCCATGAACCACCAGGAGACCGTGGTCACATCTGCTCACCTCTGGTTCTATGCAGGTGAAGAAGCCACAGCAAACAGTTCCGCCGAGCTGTTCATTCTCACTTCAGCACAGCAGCTTCTTCAGGCAGCAGAGACTCCATCAAAGATGAGCTCAGACGGATGGACCACCTTCCACTTGGATCAGAGCCAGCTGGTCTCTGTGGCTGAAGGCCCTTTTCTACTCCAGGTCCGCTGTCCGACCTGTCAGTGCCACGCCAATGAACCAGACAAGATGCCTTTTCTTCACCTCCACGCTCAGCCTCGTGGTCCAGTCCGTTCACCCCGTCACGCACCAGTAACCATCCCCTGGTCTCCCTCTGCTATTGACCTGCTACAGCGGACCTCTCAGGAGAGACCAGAGCACAGTGACTGCCACCGAGAAGCGATCGAAATCAGCTTCGAGGAGCTGGGCTGGGACAACTGGATTGTCCATCCGAGAGTGCTGACCTTCTACTACTGCCATGGGAACTGCTCGGCCGGGGATCGAACCACCACGATGCTGGGGATCACTCAGTGCTGCGCTCCAGTCCCAGGGACCATGAAGTCCCTGAGGATCACCACGACATCTGATGGTGGATACTCGTTCAAATATGAGACCTTGCCCAACATCATACCTGAAGAATGTGCTTGTATCTGAACATGAAAGTTTATGTAAACAGTATTATACAGTACATTATATACTAATTGTCTGAGTATACAATTATACTGTTTTTGCAGTCAACATATAAAAGAATCAACATCATCATCAATGCCTGTTATTCACACCACAACTTCTTTCTAGAAAAAGTTGTTGGTGCAGATTTAGATTTGGATAGGTCAATATCTCAGCACATAAAACCCAACTGTTTGCATAGCCAGAAACAAGCAGGGGCTTAAGCTTAAAAAAATATATGTATTTTGTAGTTTAGGGGACTTCCCCTTTGCTTTAAATCAGCCATTTCTCTTAGTAATTATCCATCATTCAACTCTTATCAAAATGTCTTGCATTTGTCATGTATATTAACTACAATCTATAAGTAAAACTTAAGGTCATGATTGTAGTGTTTTTCCTTTGTGTTGTGATTCTCACCTTTAAGGGGCAGTGCAGGCTCACTTTTAAACTGCATCATTTCACATCAGTGCCTTCACAGTCTTCTGTTGTTAACTGATATGCAGTAATGTATATTAAATCATTGATTAAAACATGGAACTGTTGCGTTCTGTAAGTGCCACAAACTCTGGGTTAATATTTTACTTTCCTCTTATGCCACAGGTTATTTTTTACTGCATTAATTTTAACCAAGTACTTAATTTTTAGCTCATGCTTCATATGAAAATCAACAATTTGTATATCAGTTAACTTTGCCGATTTATTCACTGTGTAACAAAAAGATTTTGACGGACAAAAACGTGGGAAGAGTTTATACAAGCTGCAACTTAATCACCAAAAAGAGTCCAAAAGCCCAAAGACAAAACATCTTGTTCAAATATATTTATTTATTTACTCTGAAGACAAAATAATCTCTACAGTTACAAAAACTACAAAACTTGCAATAGAAAAAAAAGAAAGAAAACAATGTATAAACCATTGAAGTACAATAGTCAAAATGGAATGTCGTACCTTGCAATAAGTGGCAAAACTGGAAGTGAGATGATTACAAGAATACAGCATCAAACAGCTCCTTTGGCAATCTGTAATTCCTTTTTTTCCAGCCACAGATCATACAACCAACTGACAAGGCGATGAGAAAGTATGAACTCTGCATGAGAACTGAAAGCTATTGATCAAGATGAACGAAGATTATGTGTTTACATGGCACCAGGCTGTGTGTTAGCAGCCGACCGTCATCATTCCCCTCAGCTGGGTTGGTTTTTTTTTTTTTTTTTTTTCCATGATGCACAAAAGCATCCATGTTTCAGCACAAAGAAGGAGTAGTGGTGCATGTCAAGGATGGAAAGTATGTCTAACCAAAGAAGAATGTAAATTTCAAAAGACAAGGATGGAGTTTCATTGTTGACAGTAGCCTGGAAGAAAGATGTTTCCAGCTGGTTAGCAAAAAAAAAAAAAAAAAAAATCCCCGACATTTTAAACTTTCTGCAATGATGTACATTATGAATCATTTTTATATTACATAATTTAGGGAAGAAAAAGGATTACCAACATCAAGTGCCTACTTCTCAACAGTCATGTGAAACAGGTGGCATTTGTGATGCCAACACTTCCTTCTAGACAAAAATGTAACTAATCTAGAGCTTTGGTGAAAAAAAAAAAGTACTGGTAAAATAAATTGAGTATTTTAAATGAACTGATTGTACATAAAATTACTCTTGGAATGTCCTTGGAACATTGGTCGATAAAGAATTCAAGCATTTCCCAGGTAAAACATTTTGGATGTTTGGAGTAAATATACAGGCTGTTATTTCCTGAAATGGTGTGGGCTCTTTCTAATAAACAATAATCCCTAACATCAGATCTGTTTAAAGTAAACACGATTCATCTAGCACAGGTTAAGCCTGCTGCACACGCTCCAGAAATGACATAACCCAAGGCTGTGTTGTTTGAGCTTCTCTCTGAGGCCAACAAGCCTCAACGAAGTGAGGCATTAACATTTGGCGACATTTGATAAAAAGAGAGCCTTGCTTTTGTCAAGACGACAAAAAAAAAACAAAAAAAAAAAAAACAACAAAAAAACACTACACTCAGCCAGGAGTTTGAAGCTTACGGCGATCCTTACAAGGTCTGAAATGGATGAGGATTATTGCATGACCACAAAAACAGAGTGGGTGAAAGAACAGGGTGTAGACAAGGTTTTAGCTGAAGGCACAGTCAAGGTTTGGATGTAGGTCGGCAAGCAGAAACTCGATATGTGGCAGGCATTCAAGTTTAGAGTCGTGGAGATGAACCATTTGTCACAACACAGCTTGGTCAGCATTTTTTTTTTTTTCTCTCTCTTTTCGACTGACCCCTAATACTGAAAGGCTCATTTTCTCTCATCCACACATGCATACAAACACACACACATACACGCTTTGGTCTCCCTCAGTGGTCTGACTGCATTCCCATATGTGCTTCCCCCATGTGTTTAAGGCCAGTAGGAATGGAAGGACAGACGTTTGTGGCAGGAAGCACGCTCAGGCACGTATTCCTAGGAGAAGAGACAAAACAGGACTATTCAGCATGTTTGTTCATTACAAACTGGATTTTTTTTTAAAGGGTTTATTCATGGCTAAAGTTATGTATGTAATAAAACTGATTAAACCCTCAGTCAATGGACCAACTTCATTTTTGAGCTCTGAAATTGTACGAGGCAAGTTGCAGCCATCATCCAAAAGATCAATAGATATATTTTCTGTTGATCAGCCAACAGATTAATCAACTAATTGCCACAGTACTAGAAGGGTTTGGAGTTGGTATAAATCTGCCTGTAAAACGCATTTATGAGCAAGTTTGAAAACGTCTTTGTTACCTTTCTCGCTTGCCTCTCCCTGCTTTTCCTGGGCAAAGTTGAGGCGGTTCTGCTCGGCAGCTGTCTGTGCAGCCGTGTTGACCTCCGGGCTGCTGCTGCGTGAGGGGATTCCCTCGTCTGCCTGGTAGGCCAGGTCAAGGTGCTGCTGGGCCAGCTTCAGGTGCCTCCTCAACCGCTCCAGCTCCCTGGACGAGGGCCCCTCGTCCCCAAAACTCTCCCTCCCGGAGTCGGCTATTGGAGAATCCCTCAGCTCTCCTTTTAGTTTCTCCTTCTTCATGGTGGCATGGTATCCTGGTGGGGCTGTTGGCATGGAACGTGAGGAGGTCGGTGGCGGCGGGGCTCGGGAGTTGAGTGTAGCCCGTCTGCGGAAGGTGTCACGGATGCCGCCGATCCCCAAATGGACGATTTCCAGGACAGTGAGGATCAGGCAGAGGAAAGACACCACGTACATCACCAGCAGGAAGATGGTCTTCTCCGTGGGTCGGGACACAAAGCAGTCGACTGTGTGCGGGCATGGTGAGCGGGTGCAGACGTAGGAGGGTATCACCTCGAAGCCGTAGAGGACGTATTGGCCGAAAAGGAAGGCGACCTCAAAGGCGGAGCGCCACAGCAGCTGGCACACGTAGACTTTCATCAGGCCGTCACGCAGAATCCGCCGACGACCATCATGCTTCTTCTCAGAGCCTAGGAAACACAGACACTGCTTACAATCTGACTTGGGAACCTACTTGACAGAACATCAAAAGGTTTGGTGACTGACAAATTGCTGCCCTACTTTTTTCTTCTTTGTCGGGCTTCTCTGGCTCAATTTCTTCAGCAATCATCGGGTCTTCCTCTCCATTGTCCTCCGCCTCCTCATAGTCCCGAACTGCCCCACGGCTGACGATGGGCATCTTCTTCTTCCGGTTCCGGACGGGCCGGTACTCGCTGTCGTCCATGCGGGTGATCTTGTGCATGGCAAAGCCCAGGTACATGATAGTCGGGGTAGTGATCAGGATAACCTAGACAAAAACACACACGTGTTGTTGAAATTAATCAAAATCAGAGACACAATCGTTTTAAAAATAAACACTGCAGAGGACATTTTAGCTTTTATGTTCAACATTTGTCAAAAAGTGAAATGCAGCTCACCTGGAAGATCCAGAATCGGACGTGAGAGAGTGGTGCAAACGCGTCGTAGCACACATTCTCACACCCAGGCTGCTGCGTGTTGCAGACAAATTTACTCTGCTCATCATAGTAGATGGTTTCACCCCCGACGCCCGTCAGCACGATGCGGAAGACGATGAGCACCGTCAACCAGATCTTCCCCACAAAGGTGGAGTGGTTGGAGATCTCATCCAGCAGACGAGTTAGGAAGCTCCAACTCATGGTGCCAAGGTGACTGGGGAGCTAAATCAGCTCTGGGTGGGGAGAAAGTGGGAACACTGACATGATGATACTGTTTCGCACTGTGACCTCATTTCAGGCTCTTTTGTGCTGGTTTACAGTTTTTCTTCTCTTCTTTTTAGGGTCGTGGCATGCTATGCAATTTACAAGCTGTGTTAAGTCACACAAATTTTTAAAATTAGTCAACAACAGTCGTTTTTAAGCAGAAATACACAAAATTCAAAAACTGAATATTTTGAGTTTGAGATTGTTGTTCGGACAAAACAAATCATTTGGAGACTTAAAGTTAAAATTACTGTATAATTTATTAATGCAAATAGACATTTGTTGCTGGCCAGACTGAGAAACTCCTCATTGGACAAACGTGAAAGCGTGAATGTGTAAACCTGGTAGTCTGATGCATGTGCACAAAGTGATTAAAGAATGCACGTTTAAATATTGCATTCAAGTATTCTGGGTAAACCTCAACCACGGAGCTAGGCAGCAAACCGACCCCATGCTTTGTTTTAATAAGACACAGGCTTCTGGAACATGCAGGTATCCATGCGTCAACTACACAACACTGAATCTGTCCTGTTGGTCGGAGTGCACTAGTCTTGGTAGCAGTTCGGTAAACCCGCATTCCTCCAGCTTCCTGCCATGCCAAGCTTGAGCTGCTTAATCGAACATCAAAGTGTCGGCTGGCAAGTTGCTGCTAGGCGTGAGGAGACCTGCTGTGGCTTTGCACTCCAGGTATTATGATACTGAAGCAGTGAATGGGGGTAGGTAATTTATTCCCTGTCACGCTTCCAGAAATGATCCCTTTAAATTCTTTTAAAAAACCACAACCTCACACCTCAACACGAAGACATGAACAGAATGGAGCTGCTCTTTTTTTTCCCCCCAGTTCAGTAACAAAGTGATTCATCCTTTAAACTGGATCTCTGTGTTTTACAGGAAAGCCTGATTCACCAAATTTTTTGCAACAAATCAGACAATGCAAAAACTTCATATGGTAGTTTTTTTAGTGATATTATTATTAATTTTCTTTCGAAAAAGTAGCTAAAAATTTGCCTTGAAGCTTATTTGTGCACTGAAATTGAAAGGCCACATCAACTGCAGCACTCAGCTTACTCAAAAGGTCTCTAATATCAGTTTGGTTTAATACCTGGATGAATATATTTCTCACTAAAGCAGGGCCCGAAATATCTGATATTAATTCCATAATAAAGATCCTTTGACTTTTTGGACTGACCTTCTCTAAATTTCTGTTTTCAGAATAGAAAAGAAAAGAACCAGCATTTCATGACTCACAGCAACTGGCCATTACAAGCATCTATAGGCATGTCGATTCAGATTAGGACATGATACTCACGCCCCCACTCGCCAGGTTACTCATCAATTCCTTTGCAAAATCCTCCCTCTAAACTGGCACCTTCAGATGCTGAGAAATGTTGAGTCTGACTTGCCTGAGCCTGACCAGAAAAATATTCCACCAAAAAAAAAACAAAAAAAAAACACGCCTTCATGGAGAGGTCCAGGGACCCACTAGCCACACCAAAGCTGTAAACACATGTTAGAAGTTGGCCCGTCTTGGTTAGATCCAGACAGTCAAAATTATGGACCTTGAAACACTTGGACTCAGATTCAAAGTATTTAAGGGTTTCAGGCACTAAATGTAGAACTAAATCACACTTCAAAAAAAAAAAAAAAAAAGAGGCAAGACTCATCTACTGCAGAGATTTTGTACCATTATTTCTATAAAACCATCCTGTGCCTGCTAAATGTAGATTTCGGTCGTGGGAATGGCTAAGGTGTTTGACAAAACGGACAACCTGTGTGACCCTGAAAGGAAAGCCTGAGACCAGAGTACATCTGTTTTACCCCTACCATACAATTACAAACCCCGCCCATCTTCATTAAAACCGTGTTGGTTTCTCACAGCTCAATACTCTTATCTGACATTCAATAAGGCAGATTGTCCCTTTAAACATCACCTGACCCAGTTACCACCTTATTTGGTTTCCTCCACCGAGACTCTCAGCTCTGATCCTCAGCCCTCTCCAGCTCAAACCGTAATGCAAAACAGTAACCGAAAGCATCTTGGGAGAAATGAGGGCTTTTATCGTCATGAAGCCGCAGGCTAACCACTAATGGTCATCTAATATCAGTACACTGAAAAAAAACAACAAAAAAAACACTGCAAAACATGCTGAGCTGCCAGAACGAGAAAGTACAGGCTGATATTTGAAAGTCACCTCCGAGGGGGTTCTACGTCTGTTTGTGCCACTTTAAACAAACTTTTTCACTGCACTGCGGTCACCTGATCGACACGCAAAAATGCAACGTTTGACCTGCGCAGATGAGTGACAGCTTGGGGTCATGGAGTCACTGTAAAGTCTGCAAAGTGCGAGATAACCAAGGCAAATATCCACATTGTCAGTACATTTTAAAAACCTTTTTCCAGGGTTTTTCAATGCTTTACGTGCACGAGTGATGCCTCAATTCCACCGTTACTTCCATTTAAGACAGACTGTATCCAGCACAAGGCAGATCCATTGATGCCTGACATATAAAAAAAAAAAAAAAAAAAATGCCACTGAATCGTCACAGCCAGGGTGGTGTATTTCCTAGTAGTGGGTGAGCTATTCCTGTCTGGTAAATTATTTCAGTCTGGTGACTCTTGCAAGTGAAAAAAGTTACTGTAATTTTAGACGCTGGCTGTGCGCCACAAGTGGGTCAAACCGTAGTTTTGGTTTTTCATTTTGGCTGTTCATTGTGATATAAACTTTATACAGCAGGTGTTAGTGCTCCAAAGAGGAGTGTAGCTCCTGCTTAGAGGGTCCATTAAAAGTTTCCAAGCGTGCAGAGCTAAGGAGGAAGAGTAAAGACTCCTCTCAGAGGTTTCTCAGAAGTTTTCTCTCCACCCACAGCAGCAGCAGCAGCAGACTAAATTTACTCAGATGAAAACCTTTACAGCTCCCCTTGTTAACACACTGTAAATCCTCACTGCTCTCTGCTGCTCTCTAAATAAAAGACACAAATAGAAAAGTAGCTCATCACCCAACAGTGTATTTGACTTAGACAAACTGGCTTCCTGGCTCAAGCAATGGCAAACATTTTTGCAGTGCCACCCTCCCAACAGCTGACCAAAGGCAGGTTTTAAACAGAAGCTTATTTGCTCATATGGGCTAAACCCAGCTCAACTGATTTAATGGCTTTTCTGCTTCAGGAGCCACTCGTCCGCAGGAGGAGAAGGAGGGGGATGGAGAGTTTTTGGGCAAAGGATCTGGACAAAGCGAAGGCGAGTTAACATTCCTGCCTAACCAAAAGCAGAAAGCTGGATTTTAGGGTTCAGGGAGCAGACAGAGGGCACATGAAATCCCCATGCAGTCTGACCAGCAAGAGAAGAACACAGCATCTACAAATGTCAATCATCTCCTTCTGTCTTCTGCACTGTCACCATGAAAAAAAATAAAAATAAATAAATAAATAACTCTTCAATCTGCAACAGACATCCAGTTGGGAAAAGCACTTTATCCACAACACATATTTCCTTTTCTGTTTCAGACAAGCAGTAAAAAGAAGTTGAAAGGAGGTTTAAAAGCTCCTCAGCAGAGCTGTTGAAGGCTATGAACACGCTCTGCTGAGTCAGACTGAATTGTTTTGGAAATTGTGGCATTTCTGGAGGAAAACAAAGTGCTGCCAAGCTTCAGTGGGGAAACAAAAACCCGGTGAATTAGAAAATGAAGCCATCATTTCAAAGAACCAGAGTCACGATTCGTCAGGAAAGTTAAAACCACTGTCAGTAAGAGAATTACTCATTAAAACAACTAAGGAAAATCACTGTAATGCTTACAGTCTGGTGTGAGGTGATTTAGTCATCCCGATGTGGAACTTTTGAACCTCCTGTGGTATTGACACAGCCTTTTTAGGCACTTTCATCAAACCATATCCCCTTATAACATAACATCGCACTAACAATGACTTTTACAAAGTCTTTGATTACATTTTCCCCTTTGGACCTGAAACTAAGAAAATAGGACGACTCACCGCTCTCCGGCAAGGAGCAAGATCCAAAACTCGTAACGCGGAACCCACTTGGTAAATTTAGATTAAACCCTGCTCGTAAAATAAACTTTTTAGTTATCAAACGAACTCAAATGAGGCTTAATTAAGTTGTAAAAAGAAACTAAACTGTCGTAACAAACTTTTCTCGGTGCCAAACACCCACCTTCTGCGCTCCAATACGCGCGTCTTCTCTCCTCGTGCTTAATTGCTCGACCAGGTTTTCCTAATTAAGTGCGCGCTCTCATCGGCGTCTGCGTGCGTCCGCGTCCGAGGCAGCCGTCAGTATGAACCCATTCAGCCCGTGTTGACCCCATGTGTCGGGGTCCCGAACAAGAGGACAAAAGAAAGCGCTCTGATTCCCGCAGGCTCCTGGCTGCTCCCCTCCTTCTCCTCCTCCTCCTCCTCCTCCTCCTCCTCCCGCACCTCCTCCACAACTCGGCCCCATTCAGAGGAGGCCCCTCGCCTGAAACCTGAGATCCACGACGCTGACTACCGTTCGGCCCTCACGACAAAAGACTATGGGGATCCTATTATTCATTTTATAATATGATGATGCTGTATAAGTGTCACAGTTAAACCTCAGGCCTCCATGGGGACTTTAATATGAATATAATAGGAAATAAAAATAACAGGAGATACAATCAAGCCTCTATGACCTTTCTATTGCTTCTCCTCACTATAATTCTTAAAGAAATATATTGCATATACATTATTATAGCATATAAACATGGTGTTTGGCTGCTCTGCTGTGAAAAAAGGGACGACCATCAATGATAATAAAATATGTACAGGCCCACATTCAAATACATTTCTCATTAATACATTTATAGTTATAGTTTACAAGGTGGAGTTCATAAACAAGGTTAATTGTGCACAAGATATATACATATAATTTAGGCCCATCTGTACAGTGACACCACTGGAACAATAGACTGAGTAAAGAAGCTATTCTTATTCATGTTCATTAAAAAAAAAAATTCTAAATAAAACATTTTTTTTACATTTTACACAACTGCCACTTAATTAATGTGATGTTTACTTCTTGAGGCTGTAGTTTGTGTCGGGGCGCAAGACCTACGTTTGCTAACTTTACTTATCTACTCCCCCCGCCGTTGGGCTGGACAAGTTTTTGTATTCTGGGTCCCAAACAGAGGTGGAAAAAGTGCAAAAATATTGTACTCAAGTAAAAGTACCAATACTTTGATGAAATATTACTCAAGTAGAAGTAAAAGTACTCATCTGAAAATGTACTCAAGTAAAAGTAAAAAGTAGTTCATTTGAAATGTACTTTAAGTAAAAGTTACTTAGTTACTTTCTTTGTGTGGGGTGTGAGGGTAGTAAAAATAGGACAAGGGGTCAGAAATCCAAAACTATTTTGTTTTTAATTAAAGAGCAAGTGTAACAAATGTAAGTGCAATAACAACAACTTCACAACAACTGAACTTCTTGTTCAGTTTAAGTAGCAACTTAAAGTTAGTTGAGCTCATCCATTTAGTGGTACAACATTAAACATGCTTACTCTCACGTTTTCTCTCTCACCCTCATCATTTGTCACTGTTGGTTCTGGCCATTGTTTTACTGTCTATGGTTCTGGCGTGTATTTTTCCCCTGTAGGTTGAATTGTTATTTTTACTCAGTAACGGATAGGATTTATAAAGTAACTAAGTACAATACTTGAGTCAAAACGTACTCAAGTAAAATACAAAATACCGATTTTAAATTGTACTTAAAAAATACAAAATACACAAAAAAAGTATTCAATACAGTAACGTGAGTAAATGTATTTCATTACTTTCCACCTCTGGTCCCAAATGACTGCAGGTTGATTGGTGGGCTGGACCGACCAGGTGCCGCTCCAGTCAGAACTCAGATAGGCCACGTTTTCTCCAGCATTTTAGTATTCCACCACCATACAGTTAGGGGTGGGACACACTAGAAAAATAGATATCCTAAGCTCCAAAAAATGTTAGATTTAACCTTTCCCATAATGCAACTTGATTGTATCTGCCATTAGAATATCCCTACTTTCTAAAGATCCATGTCTTTTAAAACTCTATGTGCAGTTTGCAACATGGGGTTTCTGGTAAAATTCTCTAAAGACAAGTTGAGATCACATTGATGATTTGCTATAGCAAAAGAACTCCATTTTCTTGTGTTGTTAGAATCTGTTTATCTGCCTACATTCTTGTCTTTTGCTAAAAAAAAAAAAAAAAGTAGAATGAGTTCAACAACATTGTAATCTAGTCATTCCTCTTTCTGGTGAGGACCCCGTGTTATCCCCTGGACCAGAGTTTGGCAGCCCAGCGGCCTGACGGAGCACTGCGTGACTGCAGCCTTTAGAAGAGGAGGCCCACCATCCAAGAATTTAGTTTGACTCGAGTGCTCAGCAAAACAACAAATTTCTTGCTGTCATGCACGGTGCAGCTGTAGTGCTCCTGATTTACCAGAGGACCTGAAATGTTTGGAGGAGACGGTGGGAAGTCAAATCAGGCCAGATGTCTGCGCCCAGCCAAATCGCTGTGGCTGCATCCCAGCTTCCTCTCATACTAACTATCCACCCTGCTTTCCTCTGCTTCTCAAATGTGGTCCAAGTGAGGCATGAACTCATTCATCTCCAGCTTTTCACCTTTGCTTATTTACACACAAAAGCACTTAATGACTCTTAATTCTTGAGAATATTAAAAAATTTTATGTAACATTTTGGCAAACTAAATACCACTGAACTTTTGCTGTTTAGGGGTGAAAGGTGTCACAATTAGAGGCCATAAAATAACATTAGGATTATGAAATTTAAGCCAAAATGGGAATGGGGGTGGGGTGACTGCCTCATGGAGCTCAAAATTCCTTGCTACCCCCCTGCAGTGAATATATTAATGGCTAGAATAAGAGCTGGTATGGAGCACTTTTGATCTTTGTCCACCTGCACGTGTCTTGAACGTACACGTTGTGGTTACGTTCTAGCATCAGGCTTGATTGCGTGTTCCCTCCCAAAACATAAACTTGTGACATAAATTCATAGCATGCAATCGTTATGACTCATGGGTTTTTTAAGGCTGAGTTTCTGGGCTCATTAATTTTACCATATTGCAGGAAAAAAAAGGATTCAACATGGAAACACTCAATGTTTATTCCTGGCAGGATGGGGGAAGAGGATGGCAGGAAACTACATGAAATAGAATTAACACTTCCATAAAATACATCAGAAAAAAGAACAAATAAACCATGGAAAATGATAATAAAAATCTGAAATGCATGGCTTAATATGGGCATGTAAGAGGGAGGAAAGTTTTTGCAGGCATCACATCATAAACTTGTCTTTTCTGCCTTGTAGAAGTTGTGAGAAAAACAGTATCACTGTACTTTTGTGCCACATGGAATCCTAAAATCCAAACCAGGGGAGCTGCAGCTGTTACGCACGAGTTCTTATTAAAAGCTTTGTCAAAAATTTTCCACACATATCCTTTAATTCTCTTGGATTTGTGAACTGTGAAAGAGCTACAATATCCCCCCGTGTTTGGAGATTTTAAACGTTCACACCCCTCAGAAAGCAAGCCCACCTGCTGAAGTGTCTTTGAGCAAGACACTGTATCTGTATCAGCTCCAATGGTGAGGTTCTGTACCTGCATTCTTCCTTTTTTTTTTTTCCAGCGACAAGAAACAGAAAGTGAAAAAGAGAATGGAGCATAAAATGTGCTGTTGTTTATTGTGTGAATCAGATTTATGAGGAACTTTACAACCGGGATGCGGGTGAGTAGTCACCAGTCATTTGTGTGTTTGAGGATCAGGGATTTGTCAGCCATGTGGGTGCAACTGAAGGAGATCCAGGTCTCCAACAAGCATGTGCACAACACATGTACAGCACCGGTGGCTGAGGAAATATTTACACTGTGAAATTGGTTAACATACCTTTCACACAGCTGAGCTCGGATTCAAATCGTGCTTCGCTTCGAGGGGCGGGACTGGCAGTTTGGTGTGGACTGTCCAAAAAGAACGGCGTGTTAAAAAGGCCACAGGTTTGACTTCTCCTGCAGCTTTTTCGCATTCCTTCACTGCTGCTGCTTTCAACTGGGGCCAGGAGAAAAGTCATGATTTAGCTGACCCAATAAAGCTGAAATGGCTTATGAAGACAGCAGGGGTTTTCTAGCATCAATGAAGGAATTAAACAATTAGTAAGCTATGGGAGCAGTTAGAATTACAAGAAAAACTTAACAATTTAGCCATTTTCTTAAACATTTAGTCATCTTTTCATCTTCAACCTAGAGCACTGATTCAATGAGCTTCAAGGGCACTTGGCAAAAACGAAAAAGAAGGAATTGCACTAATCTACCTGTCACTGAAGTCAGACATGAGTAATCCTCCACAGTGCTGACAAATAACTGGCAAGGCTTCTGCCCCTTTTCACAAATTGTGACTGAAACATCATCACACAGGACAAGCAGGTGCCATGGAAAGTAAACAGACTAACAAACTGTGAAACCTCTGGTAATCAAGTTGGGGTCAGAGGTCATGGAAAGGTTTTTGTGCGTTTGCTGTTTCTTTGTTACAGCTTTACAGCTACAGCCTTTGTGTTCTTTTTGGTGGTTTGTGTCGTGATTGTATCAATGGGATTAACAGTGATTGAGATGAACAGTCTTTCTTACATAAGACCACACGTACGTTTTGTTGACATGGATGACCATTTTTGATGTCACTGGGAGAAACAAACATTTGAAGACTTGCAATTCTGTGGTTGTGTGTTTCTCTCTTGTGCGACTCTTTTGGTCTCTGAAAACAAAAAAACCCCACAAAACACACATGAACACATGACTTTTATACTGAGTTGTACACATCATACATCAGATGTTTTTTCCTCATATTAATACAAAAATAAAACACACTTTCTGACTAAACTCAATGAAAAAATTATAAAGAAATAAATTAAGTTATACTGGTTAATCTAATTCTAAACAATGCTGAATTCATTTAGCTTTTTGCTGCATCTGTACATGAGGATATAATATGTACAATTTCACATCACAGTGGCTACATGCTCAATGCACACAGGTGCAGCAGTTCCGTTCTACATTTTAAACTGATATATAAACTAAACAGAAACAAAGGATTTAGTTGAGACATCCAGCACTTCTCAAGTTTTATAGAGAAGAGCTGCTTCTGTTCATCTTTTCACAAAACACAGTGCAGAGACACATCACAAGACCCTAATTGGGTGGAAAGGGTGTGAAGTGACCCTTTCGTGACAGACTCGAGCCCTGGCCTTTCAGAAGAAACTCCAACCTCGTGTTGAGCGCGTGATATCACAACTTGCTGCACCCCAGGATGGCGAGGAAAGACTCCGTCCCGCTTAACACGAGGGGGTGGACATTGTTAAGGCTCAGCTCGTTGGATTACTCCCCTAAAAATCCTCAGACACAACTTTTGTTCCCAACTTAATGCTCTCTCAGGTCCAAATCCCCAAATCTGCTCCACAGCAGCTTGATGCTACAATGAATGAAGAACAATACAAGATGCATTAAGGTGCATTTCAATAAGAACCATGGCAGCGGCTAAAGAAACAAGGCACACTCCATTTCAGCTGTAGAAAAGTTTGGTGGGATGGTATCTGGAGGAGAAATTATGCAACCAGTGCTTTTACAGGCTTGTGTACCACATGAATGAGTGCAATCACTTCCAAGTTCTTGGCTTAAAAGACGATGAAAGCGATGAGCGTAATGGAACCAGACTGAGTGCAGATTGTGTAAAGAGAAAATAAAGACGCACTCGCTCACGCTCACTAAACATTTCCCAGTACCAACACACAGTGTCATGAACACACACACACACACACACATGCAGAGTCTCTATCTTTTGTCTTTCCTTATGCCCTCCCCCATTATGCTGCTTCGTCTTGCAGGCTTGTGTGCAGTTTCACTCCGAACATGGCCTCCCACTGTGCTCTGACCCAGGCCAGCAGACCCTGGAGGAGCTCAGTGCTCTCCGAGTGCACACACCACGTCTTCTCCTGTTTCACCGTCTGCAAGAGAAAACACAGCATCAGAAAAAAAAAAAAATCAAATTAAAAGCAGTTCATCACGAGAAAAATCCAACTTGACGATACTGCAAGATGCAACAGGCCGCTCTCTGTTTGCATGTATCTGAACTGATATCGCAGTTGTAACAACCATCAAAAACAAGACAACATGCATTTTGGTCAACACTGTGCAGCCTAATATCCCAGCACACATGCTGTAGTTAACAATACAGTGATCTCACCCTGAATTATGTTCTAACATCAAACAGAACTTGATTGTGCTCGATTACAGTGAAATTCTTCCTCGTAGCAACAAGTAAACAAATGAAGCGGTCATGTTTGCAGATCTTGGTGAAAAGACGAACAATTAGAGGAGTCACTCAGCTCTGTGCACATGTGGGACAAATCAATTCAAAAGCTGGCTTGATAACACATGTTTTTACAGTTTTGGTTTCATTCAGGAGCTCACAGCTGAGACAAAAGGCATGAAGGAGAAGAAATGATGAGATGATACAAACATCCCGGGCTGTATTTAAATGAAAACAGCATGGCCGACTGAGCCAACAGAACACGACCCAGATACCAGATTTCATATGGAAATACTCATTTCTGCTGCTCCTTTGTTAACTGTTGTAGAGAATTGCATTTTAAATAGTTTGACGACAAACGTTTGATTCTTTTCCAAGTGAACAAACTCTTATTGGTTTGGTTTTATCAGTCACTGTTCGTGATGGAGCCACTGGTTACATTCCCCTTAAAATGTTATACAAGCTTTATGGCATTTCATTGCTGCTTCCTACCTAAGATAGCATTTGAGTTTTATGTTTTCTTAATGGATGAATCTATCTTCTTTTATTGGCTGCTGAGCTGATAGAAACAAGAGCGATAAGGTATTTCTGCTGAAGTGGAAGCATGTTACGATGAGGGGTCGCTGGACATGAGTGTTTCGCCGTAAGCACAAGCAGGTAATTTAAGCTTTTTGTTGCCAACTTCTGGGGAAATAACACTAACCTCATCGTAAAGTTTAATATCTATTCTGCACTGGTCCGAAGGCCACAGGTGGATCGAGCTCACGCAGCTGATTGGCAGCGTTTCTAAAACAGCCACGCTCCCGCTGCACGCTTCTTTGTTTTCATTCTCTGTCAGGCTGTTGGAGCTTTTCGTCCACTGGTGATCCTCTTTGAGCAGGTAGAGGGTTTCCCGGGTTGCCAGGACTGTCAACGGCGTCCAGATGTCCTCTGAGAGAAAAATAAGAAAACGTGAGCAGTTCCATACTATTAAAATGGTCAAATGCTGTCACTTCCTATCTTTCTCTTACTGTATGAAGTTTTTAATACCTAATGCCATCAGCTGTTCCACATCAGCAAACAAACATAGTAAATATAGCTCTAAAAACAGGATTTGACAAGTCAAGCTTTTATCCTCTGATCTAGTTCATGGTAGCAGTGATGGTCATGGGTCAATGCTCTACAAAGTAGCTCTCTGCTACGATCAAAAGATGACTTTTAGTAATATATTTGATGTCAAAAAGCTCCAGCTTCAGAAGAAGCGAGCAGAGGGGAAAGGCAGATCTAGGCATGCTAAAATTACGGCACTTTAAATTCCATGGACGTGCACAGCTGTGTGTAGCCTGCAGCTACCTTGGCTTTAAAAGTGTCTTTTTAAACACACAGACAGAGAGGCATCCTGCAGCAGCGGTACACATGTACAGACCCACATGCATGCCAATACCATCAAAACATGAGATTTGTGTCTCATTTTATGGCAACTGTTGTTGACTTGGATCGTCGACAGGCGGCTGACGTCAGCTGCTGCCCACAAATCACATCCTCTCCTCTATATTTTCCTCTTCCTGGAGTAATCTGCTTTTATCTCAAAGGAAATCAAATCTTTTTCATTCTTATTTCTTCCATTTAGTGTATTTTCCTAGCATTTCACAGAAGCTTCCTTACTTCTGGGTAATATTAATGTTTATGATCTAGCTTATTCTACTTTTTCTCCAGACTGCAAGCTCAATCAGCCAAACAGAGATAACTTTACCTGAACCCACACAGACCACACCAACATAAATAAAGGAGGGAAGGAAATCTAGACAGTGCTGACATATTAGATTATTAGTGCTAACGGCACCAATCTTTGTCTCTTCAGTCATTAGACATGACATGTTGCGTCTTGAAATTTAATCTTTCTTGAAACAAGTCAATATGTTGAAAATGAGACTGGGAGGAGATGGAAGAATGCAGGTGAAGGCAGATCTCTCTGCTGATACGTGGTGAGTGATGAAGCTCATGAGTGAGAGGAGTTGTCACCTTGCAGGACAAAAGCCAGAATGTAGAAAAACTGCAGCTGGCCGTCCTCCACATCTGCCTGGATGTCTTCACACACCAGAGGCCTAACACAGCCGAAGAAATGACACAAAGTGTTGACATAATGTTGCATGTAAATACATTAACACACAAAAAATCTCCCATCAATGTAAAGTGATTGCTGTTTAGTTAAAAGCAGAGACACAGAGGGCCGTGGTGGTTTGTGGGTGGCAGGTGGAATCGCTTCAACATCGTGGGGCGAATTTCACAGCAACTGTGAAGCAAAGGGGATAATTGACATAATAATAGCTGACAGGAGTTGGATTGCACAAACACTGGACGAGTACTGAGACTGCGGTTAACTGCCTCACAACACATGAAGGAGTTGCTCTGATTTGTTTTTGTCGTTTCTGATTGCTGAGCTGAGGATCTGAGGAAAAATCACTATTATCTATTCTTCCCGATCAAGATGATCTTTTTTTTCCTCAGCTAAGGGAAACTTGACATTTATTTGACTTCTACTAGTTGGATAACGCACATTTGCCAGGTCGGCCAGACTGCTACAAAGTCTGTTTGTGTGACTGAAATATTTGATTATTCACAGCATGTTTTTTTTACACTTGCCTGTGAGAAATTGTATCCCTTTTCTTCTCTGAAATTATACTTTCATTAAGAAAACCACACTCTTTTTCAATGACCACCTAGAGAAAGCCGTCGCCTTCTGTTTAAGAGAGAAAAAAACATACAAATAAAGGTGTAAAATAAAAGCTACACAAGGTGATAACAAAATATGCCACATCATATGCACTCTTCAGGAGCACAACATGTGTTACAAATTAAGATGTGGTTTACCAGCTAATTTAGTGGGGCCATTTTACAAAACGAAGTCTAAAAAAAGCTGATTATAATCGACTAAAGATGTGTCAGAAATGTGAAGTGTTCTTTCCAGCAGCCAGAGCTCCCTTTAACTTACACCTCCCGACCGCATATAAACGCGCACGACACTCTTTAGACCACATCTTTCAGCATCCACACAAATGTCTGCCATTTTCCCTCACTGCGTCCGGTGGCTGCTCCCCTCAAAAGAGTGAGCGCTGAGGCTGAGAGTGGAGCGTACCAGAGATGGTGCTGAGGGTTGAGTCTGGTGGTGGAGATGGACTGCAGCTTGCTGTCTGATTTGTGAGCCATCTCGCGCACAATTCCTGAAGAGATAACAACAGAGAAACACAGTAATCAGATGGTTTTACGATCACAATAGTGCTGAAACAACCGACTCATTCGGGGCCACAGTTAGACTTTTGAAGACATTTTCCTCTGCTCACAAAGGCTTCTTCAGTTAACTGAAGAAATGAGATATGCCTGAACAATTCATCACCAAAATGTTTGGCAGTAATTTAGTTTTAAATAAACACTTGTTGTTTGTTTCCTGCTTCTCAAATGTGAGAATCGGTTAATCTTCTCACTTTTACATGATTGTAAACTGCACATCTTGAAAATGAGCGATCTGAAGGTGTCAACGCGGGTTCCGGGAAGTATTTTTCACTATTTGTAGCCATTTTATATACAAATAATTTCTTGATTAATTGTAAAAATAATCAACAGATCTCCCAAAATGAAAATACTCATTGTCATTATGACTAATACAATTGTGGTAAAGTCAGCTCTGAGCTGGAAGAGATGTGCGGAGCTGTGACCATGATGTCTCAAAGTGAATGGAAGCATCTCTCTGCTCACTTTCATGAGACGAAACACTGTCACAGTACAACACTTGGGCATTTACCAGGGAGGCAAACATGTGCAGCGACAGAGGCAATCAAGTGAACCACGTGACTAACCCCAGTCTGAAAGCCAACACCCACCACTAACTTGTAAAGGACACAGAGAAGGCACAGTAGCCTAAAAATGCCACACCCACACATTCATGGAAAGACGTCTTCACACAAAAGCCAAACTCCGTCTGAAACTTCTACTTCTCCTTCTTCCGCTAGGCTGTGATAAGAAAGCCAAAAGGTCTCTGGTTGCAAGTGTAAAATTTCAGCTCCATAGAATCAGTGGGTGAGAAAATGTTGGACAATACAATGCGCTGGGTCACGCTCACATTCACGAATTGTAGCGTGTCATTGAGTGTGACAACAATACAGGGCAGAGAGGATATCTGCAGTGTGGCTTCACAGTCAAGTCTGAATGGGCGGCACTTCAAAAGGATTTAAAGGTACACTGAAGAAAGAGGACCATACTGGGTTAACAGTGGAGGAAAATAAGATAAACCCTGCCTTATCAATACCATGCTTATGAGGGGGGGGTCCATTAATATCAGTTTTCCATATGGGTCAAATAATGACACCCCTACATTCCCAGAAGTACTTCTATAGTTGTGCAAAAAGCATGTCCATGAATGTTTCTGCAGGCTGAATTAAACTAATCTAAACTCTGCTTTTATGTCTCAGCAGAGAGACACGAAACAGCTGCAGACATGACTTATCTCATCCACAAACCTTCGGGTCGGGGACCCACACTAGGGGTCACGAGATTAATCTAATCTAACTTCCAGCTTCTTTTTCTTCCCCTAGAGAAATGTAGTTCTTGAGATGAGACCTCTGAAAATGATTAAATGATGAGATCTGACAGTGGGGCTGCATATTGACCAATATTGTTTGATTTTGATGGCCATATGTTACCACAGTTTCAGTACAGATACCAAAATGATGTCTCTTTTAGACTCCAGTGTTTAATTTTTCCAGCCATAAAAGAACTGTGCCTAAAAAAATACTGTGTCTTTGCAAAAATATGGTTTGAACAACAACTATCTGATCAAACATTTGTCTACAAAAACATTTTGGCTTTTGAATAAAAAGATCCAGCCTCCACAAATGCATCAGTGTTCAGTTTTATCTAAATACGACACAGCCACGCGAGGCCCTGATGAAAACACTGTTTAAATTCTAGAAGTTCTGATTTAAACAGGAAGTATCTGATCAGAGAAAAAGTAAATGAGCCTGGAAACCTGACCAAGCAACTTTTGTCATTTGACAGTTTGAAGTATGAAGACATTTCATGGACACAAGCAGTCAAAAAGTATTGGGGTTCAATAACCAGTCTTGCATGAGTTGGAAAATGACTGCTGCACTGACTCAGTGGTTTAAATTTACTAAAACTGTACTTTTTGTTTCCGCCCTTTTGAACAGGAGAGAGGTGGTCTATACAAACTGTATGCACAGTAAGAAAGTAGCATCCACCAACAGCCAGATGCAAAGTTTTTACTTACAAACCACTCCTGCTTCGGAGCCATTTTCCTTTTATAAAATAAATCATATTTAGTTGTTAAATCTTTAACTGTTGAATTGTTAAATTGTTGTGGATCCTGGAATTCATCAAAACATGTTTCTGTTGGATGAAAAGCTTCACATTCTTGTCTTGTTCTGTGTAATGTCTCCGATGTTTTTAAATACTCTCCATAACAACAAAAAAACGTCAGTTTTAATCAGATTCATTTCTGTTTTTAATCTTGTAATCTTTTTTTTTTTTTTTTTTTTTTTTTTTTAATTAAGTAAAACGTTCAGTAAAAAGCCAGCGATGAGTTTCGGTTTGCCTCAAAATATTTTGGACAAAAGAAAAAAAAAAAAAATGGCTGATGGCTCGATCGCTGTCACGAAAATCTGCACTGGGCTCGAGTCAAAGTCTCCCACACTGCTGGCAGAACATTTTCACATGTTTGAGGGGAACAGTGGGCGTTAGACTAACTGCAAGATTAAATGACCTGTTAACATGGACAGTTTTAGTGAGGTACCATCCAACATTTCAATCATGAGTAAGAAAAGGCCGATGGGCCGAGCGCGTTAAGAACCAAGTTTGCAGTGGACGGACTTCGGTTGGTGCTCTGGTCTATGTCAATATTCCTACTTCCTACTTTACTTTGGCTGCCTCCACCACCAACACCAACTCTCCTGATGGTTTTCACATTAAATCAAACACCGTACCACTGTTGTGATATGATGGATAGCTAGGTAAAAATGACATTTTCAATTTCCAGTTTCCAAAAGGTGCATTTCACCATTAAAATTTCATTTCACCACATCTCCTACAACACAGTTTGAGTGCAACAACGAAGTGACAAATTCCTCTGAGAGAAAAAACAACTGGGCCAAAAGAACAGAAGATCAGCAAGACAGATTCCGACTTTTGGCTGCAGATTCCAGAGGTCTCGTGTTATCGCTCATGTTTCAATAAAGCTGTGTCAGACTTGGTTAGAGCAAGAGGCTTTGGGCTCCAGAAAACTGTCCCACTTATAACCACATCCTCTCTCTGTCTCCCAGCCAGCGAGTCCTTCGTCATTCCAGTTGTGGTTTTCAACTTTGTCCATATGATGGGAGCCAGGTTGGACGGTAGACGGGGTTTGTTATGGTTAAGCTTTTCCATAAAATATTACAACAGCTGTTTTGGGGTTAATTCAGTATTAGGAAAAAAGGAGTAGTTATCTTCATCTTCAAGGATCAAAGGAAATATAAGCATCATACACTTTATGTGAAGGTATTTGGCACTTAAACACAGATTTTCACGCATTTTTTTTAGGATGCACCTGAAAGGTTACAACAAACTATTATCATGTTTTCCACTTTGTCTGCTCTGTTTTGGACAAACTCTGTGGTCTTGCTGAAAGAAATCTGGAATCATTTCCAGCCGCGAAAAATTCAACACAGTAAATGAGCTGTTTATGAATCTGGACAGAAAGAAAGAGCTCTCAGAGGACACAGAGGCAAGCTACAGATTGAGGGAGACCGATGAAAAGAAAGAGAAGCGGAGTGTGTGTTGGAAAAAGTGAGAAACGCATCTAAAAATGTCGCTTGATGCTACAGGATAGGCTCATGAATACCTATATGTTTTTGAGCGACGCTTCTCCTTCATTCATTTACTTTGGGAAAATGAAGAGGTAGCATTTTCATAAATGCTTTTAAATACATTTTTTTTTCCTTGGTCGCATAAGTGTATGCTGTCTGTACTCCTCTGTAATGTGTGGCAGCTGTGAGTCTTTATTGTTTTTAATGTTTTTATGCTGCACCCTAAAATAACTGTATGCGATACTGTTAAATTCATATACGCAACACTGCAAATGTTAACAGCAACTTCAATGAATAATCTCACTTGACTGTGTGTGAGTGAAAGCTGGGACAGAAACAGCAGCTGAAGGCAGAGAGTAGTGGAAGAATGTGGACTGCTCTTCCTGTCTGTTGACTGAATCAGTATCTCGAACTGTGAAATTGGTAAAATGACACTGTAATATTGGGAAAATACTTTCATGTGTCACATTCTCAACTATAAATTTCCAAAAAAAGTGTGGACTAGAAACTGAGCATCAATACTTTTCCATGCGTGCCAAGTTCCTGTTTTCTCTAAACGTTTCAGGGCTGGAAATTGCCAAATTAATTTTCCATATTTTTCCAGACATTCCAAACCCAAGCAGGAGCCCCCTTCTAATAAAAGGTTTTCCTCTCAGCCTCTGGTCCTCCCTTTCAGACAAGTTGGTGTGGGCAGGATGTGCTCAGTCTGCGTGAACCCAATACCGAGAGGGACGGGGCAGAAATCTGCGTCACATAGCACACATGTGGTGTAGTATTAGTCTGTGAGGAGGGAGTAGCTTGGGTTTTTCAGTCTGTGGCACAATGCCTGTGAGTGGAACACGCTGTTCCAATACCTGCCTCAGGGACCCAACAGTACTATACAACTTTTTTTTTTTTTTTTTTTTTAATCTACATTAGTAAACGGTTTATTTTGTGGCATCTTCCCTAAATGTGCCCTGAGGAAAGTGAAACCAATTGCGGAGAGAATAAGGTCAGCGAGTTTCTCTCCCTGCCTATAGTCACAAAAGAAAACTTCCTTTTATGTGTTTTTCCATACACTTAACAGAAACCATTTTCCACTTTTCTTGCATTTGGAAGTGTTTTCTTTTACCTGTCAACAGGCCAAAGAAGCGCTTGCAACGTAAACTGTCCCTCACGAGGAGGGTATAGGCCACGCCCCCGTCTCCAAACTCCATGTGGATGCTCTGAGAGCCCAGCCCCACCTCCAGGTAGCTGAGCTCCATGATTGGGTGGCTGTCTCTCTTCTGCAGCCAATCAGAGAGCTGGCCTCTGCTGGGAGGAAAAGACATGAGGCATTAGAAAGTGCAGAAAATGTACTGTCAAATTGAGATAAATTAAATGGTTTACTTGATCTCTGACACTTTGAGGTGTGACTGCCAGAACAACACTTTAAAATGTGTTTGTTAAAACCACTGTTTATTCATTGCAGCCATGGTAATAGCTTATGTAATACTTCATTTTTCAAGGATTAAGATAAAAGGTCAAATCCAAAATAATAGTTTGGTTTCTTGCACAGTGCCAGGAGCAAGAGAAGTCAGTTTTTATGATCTAGAAGAAAAACTGTAGTAACACCACAGCAACTTGTAACTCTGTAGTAATTCTGTAAGAGCCATCACAGCATGGGCTCCAGACCTGTGGGGAAATATAGTTTGTTTTGATGAGAGAAGAAAATCTCTTCATTTATGTGATGGAGGAGATGCAAAAAAAATAAAAATAAGAAAGGGGCTAAAAAAGCAGCAGCAGAAAAGACTCCACAGTCAACAGACACTTTGAGGTCAATGTGTTCTCAAGATGTGACCCAGAAACCTGGACAGGTTATGCAATATTATCCACATCTTAAACGGAGAGGGTGTGGGGCTGCACACCAACATCAAAAGTCATAATTGTTAACTGCAGTGTGGCGCCCTCTTTTGAATCACTGTCCATACCAGCAGGATTTGATTAAACCTTTGATAAAGTGGAATGTGTTTTGTCAATATCTCACTAACTCAAGCTTTATACCATATACAAGTTACTTTTACAAACCCCACTTAAACTTCTTAAGTTTTGGTTGGGGTCTACCTGTGCTTGGTGACACCTAGAAGTTGCAGCATACCTTAATTAAAATAATTATTGTTTAAACACAGACATATTTAATGCAAAAAATATGCAACACTTAAGACAATAGATATTATTGCAAGAATGCAAATAACCGCACATTGCAAGTAATTAGAAATGAATTGTTACAAGTAAGTAGTTAAGATAGCAGAGACTTTTTGCATCCTGTAAAGTGGCTCCACTTACTGCATCTCTGATGTTGTTTCCAGGAAATAGATTCGCTGGTTTGACACCACCAACAGAGAGGGAACCTCCCCTGGCTCCCCATATTTGACAGCTGACATCTAAGTGCACAGAAAAAAAAAAGGTATGACATGATATACAGCCTCTTAATACTGCCTATTAGAGCATGATAATGTGCATTATGAAGTCGTAAAAACAAAACTTTTAACTACTAACAACCATATTCCCAGTGGACACCAGTTTGTCTGATATTCACAAACTCTGTAGAGGTTTCAAATCAGACCTGTAAACCAAGATCTTTCTTCATTTCCTCTTAAACAACAGCAGAAGTGAAAGCACATGGGAAACAGAGAGCAGCCTCTGTCACTGGATAAATAAACATAACTAAAATGAATGGAGCGGGACCTCCTGTTTCCAGCTGTGGTTTGCTCGGTCCTGTTCTGCTCTTTGCTCTTCGTCCAGGTGTCTGACAGAGAAAAGCAATAACCTGCTGATTTGAAGAGCTCCCAGGATGCACTGCATATTAAAACAGGTCTCTGAGAATGTTAAGCGACAGCAGGGGGGAACAAAACTAGTCAAGGAAGCTACAGAAGAAAGAAAAGGGAGAGTGGGGTTGAATGGGCACCCTGGAGATTTACTGCTGACTGCGTTCATCTTGGCTGAATGAGATGAAACCACAGCTCAAGTGTTGTCGGTCTTAAAGTTGTCACCACCCATTAAGCTGTAATCTTTTGGCCATCGGGGAGATATGTTAGAGGACTTTTAAAAACCGCAATCACAAAAGAAACAATAACAGCAACATAAAAACACTGCACAGCTGAATTTGAGTGATCAGTCACAGGCTGCCATGATGAGCTAAATTCTGCTTAAGCAGCAGAGTCTGGCATTAATACAGTTTCCTCCATTAATATTAGCTCCAGTAAACATTGTGAAAGCCTGAAAAAAAATGTATTATGAGTGATGGGGTCCTACATGAACTCATTATTTTCTACCAAAGTAGGAACAGTTGTGGTAATTTCTGCATTTCTGTTTTTGCCCTCTCTTTTCTTGCTGTTTTAAAGTGGCAGGACTCAACTGGAAAAAGTGTGATGTCAGATATGTCCGTGCACCAATCAGAGTTTAGCAATGTTTGAAAAAAATGTGATGACAATTATGGGGTTGCTTGCTCATGTTTCCAGATTTTTGAGTCTTAACCTCTAAAAATACGTTTTTTCCAAACTCTAAAGGAATAGTTTGACATTTTAGAAGATAGACTGATTTGCTAATTTGCTGAGAGTCAGTTGAGAGATCTACACCACTCTCTCTTCTGTTAGCTCCGGTCAGCAGCTGGTTAGCCTTTGGCTTATGCTTATGGCTTGTGTGCCAGTGTTTACTACTTGTTTGAACCATTCCAGTAACATTGACTGGTCCTTTTGTAGACATGAATATTTTGTGTTATTGAAAGTTCTCCAGATTAGAAACAACAAGTTTTAATACATGCATCTTCCTCTTACACACCTTGAGGAAAGAGTGAACCTCCTCTTCCTCCTCAAAGACCTCCACATCCAGGAAAAGCTTCAGCCGATGGTCCACCGCGTCATAGTCCTCAGACAGCAGGTCCACATCATCTACAGACACATTGATCAGCATTAAAACTGCTGGTCTAACACAATAACCCAAAAAAAACAAGACAAATCTTCATGGCTTAAGGCTGAAATACTAAAAATGAATGAATCTTTGTTTGTCTCCCTTATTTATCCCCTCAAATGATACCTTGCATTGATACTGAAGCCATAGTTTCCTGGCAGCAATGTCAAGACTTACATATTTCATGGCTTCTATGAAACTTTACCCAGATTTTACTGCAGCAGACCTTAGCATTAGCCAACAGCCCTCACAAAGAAAGGCATTTAAGAGCAGTAAATCCACCAATGAACAGCAATGGAGGTCATTTGAACATTGATGAATGGTTACAGCTAATCAAAAATGACAAGGCCTGGACCTGCAGAGGCCAAAACAAACCCACTGTCTTTCATTTGAGGAGAGCACAAACAGATCAGATTAAAAAGGCCTTTGGACCCTCAGACAAGGCTCTTTCTAAAGGTGAAAGGTGTATGTGTACACACACACACACACACACACACACACACACACACACACACACACACACACACACACACACAGACAGACACACACGCACACGCGCACACACACGCGCGCGCACACACACATAAACACAGGTTGACCTGTCTTTGGAGACAAAGCACTTCTTCAGAAAGAAGAAAATCAGAACCTCTGCTCCACAACAATAGCTGCACTGTGTCACCCAGAAAAGACACTATATTCAGTGTCAGTCAGTGCTTCAGGATGAGTATAAGTTGTCTCCAGTGTGAGACTGTGGTTTCAGGACAGATTATGTGGTATTGGCTCTACAACTACAGTATTACAAAAAAAGAAAAGATACAGAAAGCTATTATTACGACTCAGCCCTCCCTCTCTTCGGCTTTCATTCCTCTCCCATCACTTCCAGTAATGACTCCAATCTGTCTTGTTGCACAGTTACCATGTGGTTCATCTAAAAATGGCAGACAGATGTGGCGGAAATCAGATGCTGTTGCAGAGATACACAGGATTTTTGTGCCACACAACATCCACAAGATCCAAATACTTCCCATCTTTGCTCAGTTTCAATTAAGATTTAGATTTATCTTCAGGAAAGTCAGCGAAGCCGATGTAAACAGTTTAGACCACAGCTGATGTGTTTTACGGTGACCATATGAAATGCAGAATGTGAATCAAGTAATAAAATACCTTTTTTATTTTACTGCTGTTTGGGCGTTCCTCCAATATACAGTCCTGCCAATATCACAATGATATCTTAACTGTTTCTGTCATCAGTTTGTTGCTTCCAGCTTAAAAAAAAAAAATCGGACTGTTGGTCAACCTTGAAGTTTTGGGTTTTTTTCTGTTTTCTGACATTTTATTCACTTAGCCAGTGGTTTCCAACTGATGGGGTCCAACAGTGGAGCACGGGTCCATTTTAAGTCGGTCGTGAGAAAAACAAAACATCAAAAACAACTTTATCACTTCCAGCACTGCAGCAGTTGTGATGCCAAGGTTTTCTTATCAGACCTATTTACATGTTATGCTGTAAAAACAGTTGGAATAGCATTAATTATTTGTATTTGTATGTGGTTTTTAAATGTTGATTTTAAGCCCAATCTGCACTTTCATGCTCCAATGCCAATTTTATTGATTTATATTGACTGAATCAAAACTGAAGGGCAGCATAGAACCTACTATTGTCTCCTCATAATGAGAAGGTTCTGTTTTTAAATCCACTTACAGTCTGAATGGATAGATGCAAGTGTGTGTGTGAGGTTAGTTGCGTGGACATTGATCTAATGTCGAAGAGTTAAGAACAATTGCAGCTGCAGCTTTTAAAAAGTGCTGACCCACCGTTTGGGGTGGATCTCCCTGCAGGTTGGGCTTGGACTTCAGGTGGCGTCGCACCGGTAGTGGTGTAGTGGTAGCTCCCAGCCAGGTCCTCTTTACTTTGGCACTCTGTGTTGTAAGAGAGGCTGTAGGTATCACTAGGAGCGTCCCTGATGAAGAAGGAGCTTCCCTGGGCAGTGACGAAGGTGGGCTCCTCTGTAGTGGTGGCGGTCTCCAGGATGGGACTACTGCTGATACTGGCATCTGTGTAGTCGTCCTGTTGTGATACAGAGAAAACATGGCAATAATGAGATTGTGTCTAAACAATTTTAGAAATAAATTACAGCAGAAGGGAAAACAATGAGAAAAGCATGTGACCTTGGTGACACTGCGAGTGCTCTGGGTTATATCGAGATGATCGTCCTCACTGTCAGGCCTGGATGGACGATGGATGGGCGTACTGCTGTAGGGAGTTGATTGGACAGCCAGCTGGACCACATGATCACTTCCACATTCTGGACAAATATTACTGTTTCCTGAAAAAAATAATAGATACATGTAAAGGAACTGATTTCCAAAGAGCTGCATCACTGACAAAGAATAGGAGATGCTCCCCTTCATGGCCTTAATCAGTTATTCCAATACAATAAGTTATTGTGTTTTCTACCCCTTGTCTAAGGTTTTGTCATCCATTTTTAAAAATTAACTTGTTATGTCATGAATCATAAGTTGACAGTTTTTATAAATGCAGATACCTAGTGTTTTATTGGAAAAACAGAGTGAACAACATTAGATTTTTCTATGTAAAACTTACCTGAGGGTTATATTTTAAAACTATATTTTCCACTGAATATCACATCTGTTCAAGAGCATGCGGACAGCTGATTGATTCTGACAACCAAATGATGCAAGAAAATGTACATAAAACATGCCCGCTTTCATTCATAACAAGTTTCACATGTGCAAGACACTTTTTTCTGTCTGGAGGACATGTATTTCTGTAACCCACAGGCAAACAATGTCTAAGTTCAGACACGTGCGAATGAAAAAGGTATTTGTTGCCTGAAATTTCAGCAGATCACTGAACTAAACACACTAACAAAAGAGCACAGATCCAAGAAATCCCCAAAACATCTGTTGAACAAAGCCTGCGTGCTGTCTGTGCGTGCCGGAGCAGGTCTTAATGTCAGGTTTGGTCGAATTGCTGGGAGGTGGCTGCTGAAGCGAAGGGTATTATCTGTCTCCTGCTGATTATAGAGGTGGGAACCCAGCGGAATGGGCCACTTGGCTATGAAAGAGTAGAGATAAGTCCTGAGATGCTTCACTCAAGTCCATCTGACACCAAAATTTTGTTTTGGGAAAAAACCGCAGACTTTTGCAGCCTACCAATGGGAGCCTGGTAGTTGAGGAGTGCTTTGACGTCAGTTGATAAACATCTTTTGCATGAACTTGCCATGTGACCTTGTCCTGTACCCTTTCTCTTATCTTCAATTTTCAACCACACAACCAGCTGACATTGATAGGAAAAAGAATGAAAAGTGATTATTTGGAGAAAAAGGCTGACTGCATCCAGTGTTTTGTTTTTTGGGATGGTCTAGAGTGTGTGAGGCTGGGCGTGACTCATCTGAGACTGTGCGTGACTCAGTTTGAGGGATGATTCAGAGTCAAGGCTGTGGTGTGTGTATGTGTGTGGGATTTTTTGACATTTAAGGATGACAGATTCGGATGTAAACCTAAGTCAAACATCACAGTGCTTGGACAAGTTATTTCACTCACAAGCTGTGCTAAGGGTGCTTTTTTTTTTTCTTTTTAAATCATTGTTGTTATTATCAGATGTTATTCCATTTCTAAGATGCCCCTTAACATCAGGACAGTTGATTTATGATCGCCTGCTTCACTTTAATCGCCCTTCCATCGCTCTCACCTTTGGTGTCATCATCACATTCGGGCTCTGTCAGCTGCTCCCCGTCCTGTTCTTCCACACCCTCCGGTAGCATTGCTGCCCCTCTCCGCCTCGCTCTCCCTCCCGCCTCCTCTTCACTGCCCCCTCCTTGAAGTGCAAACTCGTACCTGCAGCGAAGGCACTGCAGGTGAACACAGCTCGGATGGAGCTCCGAGTCACGCCGCTGGTTTTCCTCCACCACGTGAGACAGCACGTCAGTCAGAGCCTAGTCAGCAAATAGTAACATTTTTACTTTTAAACAATGTGTTTATAATGTGAGCAACAACCACTTTCTAAGTTTTTCAGTAATAGTCCAAAATGCACAGAACGTTTTTTGCATGTTCAAACCTTTGCAGCGGAAAACTAGAAACTGTTGGAGCTACATCAAGTTTTTCAAAGGGCCAAAAATCTGTAGATGGAGGATAATTTGATGCAGGACATGTGTGAGTATTTCTATAAACACGAGGACAATCTGTCTTGTTCAGGGTGTTTGCCTCGACTATTATACTTGTCACCTCAGTTATGTGTCTGTGTTTATAAAACATGATTCATAACTCCCTGACTACTCATCCCAAATCTAACATACTGGAATTGGCCTGTATCTTATCTGGCACAGAATTGATGTTGCGTAATATGAGGAGACCAAAATCATGAGGAAGTTTCAGGAGTAAACATGGTACAGTGTGTACTGCTGGATGTAGACGTCATATTTGAACGCAAAGGTAACAAGGTTGGGGTGTGGGCAGCCTGTGGGCATGACCAGACTTGTACAAGTCTCTCTTTAGCAGGTGTGTGAACTTTGTGATCTTGTGTCATCTACTAGGATGAAAGCTTCTGATAGTAAGCAAATATTACTCTGCCCACAGGAGTGGGTGTGTGTGTTATTAACCTGTAGAGCCTGCTGTGGGTCGTCATCCAGCAGGACGTAGCGTCTCCTCCTCTTCTCCCTGCTGATGTAGTCGAACTGAAGTTCCACAGCTGGAAGCATTTCCTCTGTATCCTGAGACAAAGAGAGAGAGGACAGAGAAACCTCATTTACTAACTTCTCAAGTCTATGATATTTTCTTTAAAATGATTCAGATAATCATCATATTATTATTTTGAATATTTTCCTGAGATGAGTAAATTGTACTATAATTGACCTAGCCCCACAACTCATTGTTCTTTCTCTTTATATGTCTCATCTTTCCACTTCTTTCTCCATCCCTTCTTACCCCACGGTTCCATGCAGCAGCTGTGGTCTCCACCCGAGCCAGGCTGTCCAGCTCCAGACGGCATCTCTCCTGGCCACGCTGCATGTCCACCTCCAGCACCAGGCCCTGTTTTATGCACAGAAACATCTCCCTCCTCCCCCCTTTCCCCCGCTGGCCATTGTCGTCTTCCTCCTCTTTGTCAGATAAGACGCCAACAAGTAAGGGGTGACACAGGTCCACTAACATGAACAAAAGAGCGAAGAAAGGAGATCAGAAGAGGACAAGAACCTTAAAAAACCCTTTTGTGCCAATTAATTTCCTCAGAAGAGTTGTGATTGTGTTCATTTTTACTGTAGAAGTAAGTTTATTGGCCTTAATTTGAGAAACAAATTTTAAATACCCTACCTCCTAGGTCCTCCATCTCTTCTTCCTCCTTTGTGTCTCCGCTTTCTGCTCTAACCGACCTTTGGGACTCTAGACTTGGCCCAGGAGAGCTCATAACTCCATGGCTCACCACCTGACCATCCACCATGCTGTCCTCCAAGGTGGACTCTGTCTGTCGAGTGCTCAGACCGGGCCACTGTAGAGTGGACTCTGTTTCCAGGTCTCCATCCACATCAGAAGTGTCCACCCTGGGCTCAGACGAGAGAAGCGGAGGTGGGAGGACCTCCGGGACCTGCAGGGATGGTGGTGATGGTTGCTTCCCGATGCTGGTGGATGGACATGGGGTGGTGGCGCTGAAGCCGTTGGGGAGAGTTTGATGGTGAGGGGCTGGCTGGTTGATGCTGACAGTGGCAGAGGGGGAAGCTCCATCCAGATGGTGCTGGTACCTCAGCCAGTCCTCCCCCAGCTGTTCTCTGAAGCTGGACATGCGTTCGATCTCCTGCTGGTGGGGAAGGACAATGCCTGGTGGAGGAATGACGTATAAACAGCTATGTTTAAGTTACAGCTGACAACACTTAAGTCTTGATTGTCAACATTATAAGCAGCTTGTAGCAGACACAGAATCACATTAAAAACCCACTCTGTGTGGAGGAAAGCTGTCTGTTCTCGTAATCTGTATCACTGGGCTCGGATATGCTGGCCCTCCGCACTTTGACTTTACTCTGAAACACAAAAGGGTTTGAAAGAAGAAAATTATGTCACAGCGCTGAGTCTGTCAGTATTCACCTGTCTAGTTTACTATAACACTTGGGAGCAGCTCTCTTACCCTGGATTTCTTCTTGCGAATGTGTGAGATCCCCACTTCTCCAACGGACATGCTGTCACTAAGCTCCCCTGCCCCACTGGACACATCTTGGTTACTCCGTTCTGGTGGCATGGCAACTGGAGGCGAAGTCTGGACCTGGACGATCTGCTGGCCTGGTTTAGGCAGAACCTGCAAAAGAGAGTCGTCTAACTTTGAGAGTGGTGCAACCCAGAAACAAACCAAACTAAAATGACATGTATATTTATAATGATTTAATATCATTTATTATTATTTGCTACAGTGGGTTGATCATATATTAATTGAGAAACTTACTGATAATTCATATGAGGAAAGGGGGCAACCATCAAGTTTGAGCTGGAAAGAAACAAAAAAGGAACATTGGTTATGCAACATAAAAAAAAAAAACAAAAAAAAAACATAGCATGCCATTGTTCTCAATCAATTGTCACTACCACAACCGCCTGTTGATGATTTACAACCCAATATGACTGAAGACCACAAGCCAGTGGGAGGTATAGCCAGCTGTTTTGTATGTGTGGAGAGGCTGTGCTTTCAGATAAATCAAGACATAATAACTGCTGATGCAGAGCATATGAGCCAGCTGCTGTAACTGTAACAGTATATTTTTAAATCGCAGCCTACTTTGGAAATTTAACAGCTTCCATTTCAATTTTATGTGTTTTACAGCAGGACATTTTGTGATCTGCTTCAGTCTTTAGCTGCTGTTTTGTACAGTAACTGTTATTATTCCATTGCTGCTATTGCCAAGACAAATGTCCATGCCGAACATTTTTATTATTATTATCATTATTTAATGCTTCAACATTCAAGTTCAAAAAATGGCATGTCAGGCTACGGTTATTACTCACTCTGAGATTGGCCGCCTTTGGGGAGAGATGTCGAACGGTGCAGGTGCGGTGAGTCTTCTGGAAGAACAGCGGGTTGCCCTCCAGATTAAGCTACAAGAAGATATTACGTTTTACTGAGCACTCGTCTCACATATGGTATGTGAAGCAAATACGTGTATCCACTAAATCCCATACGGGAGCCTTAGAGGATAAAAGAGTGTGCATGTGTGCCCTTACTGTTTTGAGGCAGTGTAGTAAGGAGAGAGGAGCCAGCTGGGAATGCTCCAACAGGAGGTTGTAGGCCAGGTCTAAGTGCTGGAGTGAAGACAATTGCTCCACACCTGTTTAATCAAAGAGTGCCACAATGCAGGATAAAAGACATGATATCAAGAACATATAAACAACATATGTGCACAGATGTATGTAAATTGAATAAAAAGAAACATCTGATTTGATTCTAATGCTTTTCTCCCCTCAGACATAATAAACAGGCAGGTATAAGGTTACTTATAGCTCCACTGTGTGATGATAAACAGCATCCAAGACAAACAGAATGACTTTCAAACCACTGGGAGGTAGGGGTCATTGTCAGAGAAAGTCTGCTAACTCATAACAGATCAAGTCGTAAGTTTGTGTATCTGCACCGTGATCCGCTTCCTGTTTTTCCAGTGGTTTTTAAGTTTCACTGGCTCATTCCTCTCTGAAGACTGTGAACGGATTGGCCAGCTGTCAGCTCTGGCTGAGGACTGTTTGTCTTTGTCTAAAGAAAAAGATGAGAAAATCTGACTGTCTATATCAGTCTACCATACCGTTTATAGTCTCCAGTTCATTGTTCCTGAGAATGAGTGTGAGGAGTTTGGCTCGGGCACTCAGGCCCAGCATTGGCGCCCTCTGCAGGCAGTTGTAGCCCAGGTTCAAGTGTTCCAGTTCACTCAAGGGCTGAGAGAAAGCAATGGGGAAATATAATATAAAATAAAGACAAAAAAGCAGCAAGTGAAAATATATTTTAAGTTCAATTACTTTTACACAAACTGTGTCACCTATCCTACCTTTAGAAATTCAGCACACTCCTGAATCTTGTTATGGCTTAGATCCAGAGATTTCAGGACGTTCAGTAAACTCTATGAAAGACAGAGAAGAGATGGCTGATGTCAGATAAAGATAACACGAGCTAGTAAGTGAGTAATGATGCATCTCTATGTATGTTTGTCTCACTAGTGACTGGTCAAGGCAGACAATGGAGTTGTAGCTGAAGTTAAGGGTGTGCAGTTCCAGCCAAGGCAGTGCAGAGCTCAGGTCGCCTCCGCACAGGGAAAGCAGCTCCTACAAAACGATCAAGACACACACATATTATTTAGTCTTTGGTTTTTGTTGCAAGAAGTTTCATATATACACTCAATGACACTTGCTGACAACAATACCTCCAGGGAGCTGAGGCTCTTTGAGCAGGTGAAAACCTCCAACTGGGAGTAAACTCCTCTGAGTCCCTCTAGACAGTGCGGGGGTATTCGCTTTAGCTGGTAAAGAAGGGAGAAAAAGAAATTTGATGTGGGTTGATATGAGTATGATTGCATGTCCGGTCAGACAGAATGGAGACAGGTTTAGTGGTGGAAACTGAGGAGGAAGCAGGGTTGGAATAAAAGAGACAGTGGGTGGAAGGAAGTGTGTAGTGTGTGTAGTAGTCAGGGTTCATACCTCCAAACTCTTCAGTGACTTGAACGGGAAGATTTTCACCACAGACTGAAGTCTAACCTCTGGGGGGTTGATGAGCTGCATTTAAAAATGAAGACACACAACATGCTACAATTATCAACTCCAGCGGGGGTGTAAGTAATAGATATAGCATTTGAGCAACAGTCACCAGAATTCACACCCTTCACATGCCTCCTGGAGAACATCTGACCCTATTTTGGGGATCCTGGACTCATAAAAATAACTCCTAAATAATGCAAAAAGTTCAGCAGGTATACAGAGTTCTCAAATGGAGAAGTACCAAGTTGGAAAGTTTTAGTGAAGAATTTTTCCCATGACAGTTTATGAGACTTTTTTCCCCCAGTCAGAACAGCTGACCTATTTTAAGGCTTTCAAAGCCCACCTTGAGGGATATGGTCTTCTGAAGGACATCGAACAGGAACTGAAGATGCAGCAGGGAAGCAGTGTCAGCAGGGTGGGAGGGCAGCGCCAGGAAGCCATGCTGCTGGCTCCTGGACAGCAAGTACTGTTCAAACAGCCTGGTGAGGTGCTGCAAGCTGTCTGCTGATAAGGTCAGTGTGCTGCTGCCATCCAGCACCAAGTCACCTGGAGAGTACAAAAGACAACTCAGTTAAGTCTAACGAATCACGCAGCCAATTTTAAGTACAACTAAGCTCAGACTGTTCTACCAATAGCTGCTGTCACTTACTGTTGAACTGAATGAGAGGTACAGCAACAACCATTTTACATGGGATGACTCCATATTTGATCAGATATCTCTGTGCAACACCTTTTTTATAATAATTACAAAAAAAAGACTTGTACTAATAACAGTCTGTTGCTCACAATGACTCACAGTCAATAGCACATAGCTATTGTTTTTGGTTGAATTGTGCCTGGTGACATGCGCTCCTGATACACTTGACACGACCCTTTTGTCACCTGAAGATATTTGTTATTTAACTACACTTTGGACATAGTGAGTGTGACATTACCATCATTTCGGAGGAGTGTGGCCAAGCTGTGTACAAGGGAGGACTGGGCAGTGTGAGATACGGCCATCCTGTAACGTTTCAAAGAGAAAGGCGTAATGTTAGCGCGACTCCATATCAACAGTGGCAATAAAGTATATTTTCACTTTTAAGCAGTCGTTGTATAAAAAGGTCCCTATCTTTAAGTACTTTAAGTTATTGTTATTTAACATTGGAAACTATGCACTTCACCTGCTGCAGCTAACGTTGCCTCAGCTAATGTAGCGTTAAACTAGCAAACAGTATTTCCTGGTAGCTAAGCTAAAACGACATACCTCTGCAGTGACAGCCAAAAAATAGATAGCTAACATCAAGTTCTTACGTCGACACGTAAAGTGCTAAATCATGTTAGTTTGCTATATGAAGAAAAACAACGTTTTAGTTGCAACTTCTCGGCATAATAGCACAGTGCACAGTGATGTTGACATTTTTTGCATCACATGACGAGGTGCCTAAAGCCTCTACGGTGGCTTCAAGAGACCAAAAAGGATGTTCCTCAAAATAAGGCGCAACAGCTCCCTTTCCCACACTGTAATCTGTCCAATAAAGGAACAGATTAGTGTCTTCCCTCTATTATAGCCTATAATTGGAGCGTGGGAGACAAAGGAAGAGAAACTACCCTACCTAAACACAGTACAGATTTATTTTCAAGTGTACAAATGCTATGTCATGTTAGAAAACACAATATTTCCATGAAATTAGCACCAGTTTAACCTCTAAATCACATCACACTAAACGAGTACATTTCTCTGCTCCTTTTTCATTGTAGGTTGAGGGTACTGTAGGTGGCCACTGGGTGGAGCACTTTAGCAAGGAGTCTAGACTTCACAACACATACTTGTTAACATGAGTAAATGAAAATGTCAAATTAGCCTCCCACTACAACCAGCAGACACTTAATCCATCCAACTATTACTATCTTACAAATGCAAACAGCTGTGCCAGGCATTAGTAGTTTACATATATAATTTTCAGCCAAAAGCAAATGTAAAATCCAAGTTTCATCCATAAAACCAGATACAGAACTACAAATCTTTCATGTATGGACCCTTTAAAGGTCAATACTGGACCTTTTGTGCTTCCCAGTTTTTAAGACCCAAGCGGCACGGAGTTCATGGTGGCTGAGGTTTTAATAAATGCCAGCTGTCAAATTTACCAACCTGAGACTCGTACCACATCTGCCTGCTGGCAGACGCTGGTCAAACCATATCCGAGTCATGGCACCAATAAAAAACAGAGCTTGGTAGCTCCTTGGCCAAAGAGTATGAGTGTTATTCATGCCTACTTTGCATGGCTGTAGAAAGTGTACTGATTTCTGACTAAAGTAAATCAAATCAAGTCTGATTTGAAGACCCAAATTAAGGGTAGCTATTATGAAAACACAACAATCATGCCAAATTGCCGACCAGCCAGCTTGTAAGAAAGCTTTTGACTTTTATGTTAACTCGATGTTGTAACAAACATGTTAGCTACAGAATAAGAAGATTTTAAGGGGATGCAACTCAAGACATGTCTATTAAACATTATAACAAAGACGGTGATGATCTCAACATTGTTACAAGAAGAACAGTGGGTTTACAGTGTTAGTGTATGGTGTAATGGTGACATCAGCATATAACTAGGGTGAGAGCTTCAACTTCTGGGCTTTAAAACTGTAAACCCACACATTTATTCAACACATTAGGAGAGCTTTCACTAGGTCTTTATTTTGTTTCGTTTGGGAGTACATAACACTGTTGCTCCATAACAGATACTTCACAAAGATTTGCATGAGCAAATAAAGCAAGAACTTTCCTAATTTGCACATGCATCACTCGTTGCTAGGCAGCAAACAAACACAGTCACACTTGGACACACACACACACACACACATACACAGAGAGAGAGAGACACACACACACACACACAGAGAGAGAGAGACACACACACACACACACAGAGAGAGAGAGACACACACACACACACACAGAGAGAGAGAGACACACACACACACACACAGAGAGAGAGAGACACACACACACACACACAGAGAGAGAGAGACACACACACACACACACACATATAAAAAACACACATGCATAAGCATTTTTCCATTTGGGACTTGTGATGCAAACATTTCCATGTAAGGATTTATGTAGTGTAATTTGGTAAACATTTCCATTTAGAGAGATGTTGCACATTGCACCAGCTAAAGCTCATGCACAGTTGTATGAAAACTAGTTTTTCTTAGGACTTCCTTCTCAAGCAGTAATACGTTCAAATAAAAAGACCACGGAATACTCAAATTGCTCAAAAACATGTTATGTTGCAAATTTCTAACATTTTAGTTATGGAATAAACACGTAATCCAGCTGTTTAGTTGCTGTAAGTGTGACTTGCATACCTTCATTTTATACAGGCTCAGTAATCAGGTGATAAATGACTTTTCCAACCCTCCTACCCATTAGCTCTACTTATCCAATCAGTAGTCCAAGCAAAGAGAGCCTTAATCAAGTATAATCAAAACCAAACACTAAACAGTGCACACATTCATTATCAAAGTCTGAAAAATGAACATGAGGATGTCTTTTGGGACCCGTATCAGTTGATAAGTATAGCACAGAGCCAACAGTACAGAAATATTATACTTTGCTTTCTTTAGGAATATGCATTTTGGACTCAGAGACAGCTGTGATGTCTTAAGTCTTATAACACAAAGTAAAAGAGGGTTTAAGGACACTCCAGTCTTTCTGAGTTTTAAACAGGCTGCTGCCATTGTTGCAGCAGTCTTCCAGCCGGCCTGCTGTGAGGCTTAGCAGCTCAAAATTAGTTGGATGAAGTGTAGCGTTACAAACATTAATTGCCTAGTTAGTGGTTTATATCACCGCTGCATCGATTAGGACTAACATATTTGGCTCATTCCGAGAAGTTATTTTGGACTGAGCCTTTCTCGGAAAGTGAAATCTAGAAAGGTGTTTCCACTTAGATATTTAGGTGTTTTTCAGTCTGTAGTCATACACTTATTGTTGGCTGTGGTTTACCTCTTGGTCAAGCCTGGCAGTATTATCAGCCCCAGCCTGTGTGAATTACATCACACATATATTACACATTTATATGCTAAATGAGGCATCCATAACTGATAATGATAAGAGAAGTCATCATATATAACAATATGTTTTCATGTGTAGTGGCCACGTTTCAGACTCACCTGTGAAATATTTGTACATGAACAGTTCTTTATTATCATTATTTATGTGTGTAATCAAATCTAATATTATTACGTATAATTACAGCTATGTAATACTGTGTTATTGATTATCAATTAAATCTTGTATTGCAAGTTATTGATGCTTCATAAGAGGAGTAGTAAATGTTTTTAAATACATTAATAAACACTTTAAAATGTCCTTATTTTAGTGTCTTATTTATATGTTTTGTATTTATATGTGTTTATATACTGCATATAGCCTAAATGCTAAATAGGGGATAAAATAAAGTGTTATGATATGGTTGAAAGGACGTGCACAGTTTTGGGGACTTACTGTACTGTAATTAGGGAGATGACCACTTGCATACAAAACTCTCTCTGTATACTCACTGAGGCACATGCACTGTATGTGTCCTCAGCCCATCAGTGATCCCATACCTTCCTCTATCAATGTAGAGTTTATCCAGAGTTTGTGTTTGCTTAACAATTCCATGGGGAGGAATTTAAGTAACTGACCTTGGTGGGGATTACTTTGCACACATGGGCAGATACTGCGGCCTGTTAGGCCTATTAGCTAGTGGCCATCCCAGACACAAATCCTCGCCCCCAGGCTCATATTTATAAAATGCCAGGCCTTCTCTCCCGCTGCTTTTCCATCCATGGTTTCATAAAATGACATATGAGGTTCTATGTGCAAACAGCCCTCTGGGCATCCTCCTGACTCACACCCCTGAGATACAAGACAGCTTCAAATGTCCCCTTTCTCCCTCCCTCCGCTGCTAAGGTGAGGTAGGATGCCGATCGTGAATAGGGCCAAATAGTATTAAATCAGGGGGCACCCACAAAACAAAATAATCTGCATTTATATCTGCGGAGTAAGGTTACACATGCCACTTCTATTTCTGGGCCCTTGGATAAACACCGATTAGTCTACCACACTGGACGGGGTTAATAGGAGCTTGTTCGGTGGGCAAGCACGACACCTCAAGGCTTGGCCTCGCCGATCGATAGGAAACATTGCTGTATACGTGCACAGTAGCATTACTGTGCACAGGCATATAAGTTGGTAGCAGCTGGTGACTTTTAATTGAGTGTCAATGGACATGTCAGCCACAGTGGGGAGGTCTTTCCATGTAAGGAATGCTCTGCACATAGTCCTTTTGTTTGTTTGTTTGTTTATTTATGCATTCTGGCAGTTGGGGCAGGCTGTGCTGATTGAAACAAACAAGCCACAGTATGTATAGTAATACCGAGTCCTCCAGCCAGGCAATTATAATTCAGTGTGCTGTTTCTGAGTTTCACATCTTCTTCTCTTTTTTAATGAATGCTGTTTTACATTTGAGAAAGCACTTCTATTTGTTTGGAAGCTCTGTTTCCCCTCAATAGCGCCATGAAGAGGTCAGGGGTCAACCAGAGAGTAGAAAGATGATTAAGATAATAACACCTCATGATATTTTCTTATCTTGTGATGATGATGATGATGGTATTATCGGTGGGGGTTAAAGTTCAGTAAACAGCATGTCAAAGAGGCCAGAGTAGGACATCCTGGTGAGGCTCACATCAGTTCAGTGCAGCCCAAAAACACACAGACAAGCAAGAAGCACAAATCTGTTCATGTCCATAAATTGTGTGACTGTCCCTTTAGAGACAACCATGGCCCTTCATGCCTATAACACATACTGCGATTCTGTGACACATTTAAAAATTTTCTGACAACGGTTGATGCGTGTAGAGGGGAGGATGTGTTAATTATGAATAATATTTCATCCTGATTTGAACAAAAGTGAGACTAACAGTGACATATTACACAACTGTACGCTTTGCTCTTAATTATATGTGAGGAGAAGTGACTTTTTTTTATTAATATGTGTTTAAATCTACAATCTGTCATTACCTTCCAGTTTTAGGAACCGGAAAAGTCATTAACACTTCATCTCCAGTCAGTAGAGGGGCTGGTACAAGTATTCTCACAACTTCAAATGCATTCAGTCAAACTTTTAAAACCATTATTCTCATCCTGGGTAATATAAAACCACTGAAGCAGAAAATAAGGAGATGGTAACAGTTTAATCTTTTCTTTATGTAATTTTCTGCCAACATTTTTACAGAGCTAAAAGATAATATTTGAACTGAATCCTCTGTCCTCCTTTTCCCCCAAATTCACACCCTTATGTGGCCCCGAGAGCAAACCTGGGAATTTGTAGGACCCAGCAGACCTCCCAGCCCCCGGCTTCACCTGTTCGCATGCACATTTCTTCCCCTTTTTTTCACTTGGGATTGCCTTCCATCGCCCCATGATAATGACCAAAAACCTCATGCCTATAACGATGCTGTCGTACGTGGGCTGCAGCTTGCTGATCCTCTCCGCGTCTTTCGCCGGCGCCTCCCTGGCCGAGATGGTGTTCCGCTGCCCGGGCTGCACCGCGGAGCGCCAGGCGCTGTGCCCAAAGCTCACCGAGACTTGCGCGGAGATAGTGCGCGAACCGGGCTGCGGGTGCTGCCCCGTGTGCGCCCGGCAAGAGGGCGAGATGTGCGGCGTGTACACCCCGAGGTGTTCCACCGGTCTCCGATGCTACCCCACGCCCGATTCGGAGCTTCCCCTGGAGCAACTGGTGCAGGGCCAGGGGCAGTGCCGGCGCAAAGTGGACACCGAGACGACCACTTTCAGCCAGGAGCACCGGGAGCAAACCAGCGGTCAGTCAGTTTACTGGAAACCTGCTTTTCTTCTATCAATTTTTAATGACACTGTCTAGACTGCAGCCTGAGGAATAGTGTAGAAATATTGCATTGTCACGAAGGCTGAGCCCAAATCTGTGAAAAATAGAGACTGTTACTCAACACTGAAGTTCTAGTGGATGATATTCTTGAGATATTTTTATGACATTACATACAGATTTGCTTTGATGTCCGCAGCCTTTTCGCGTTAATTTGATAGTTATAAGCCCCCTTTGGAGCCATTTGCCTACAAACTTGAAATAATCTTGAAGTTTGCACTGCCAGCACTTTCAGAGATGTGCAATTTCTCAACTTCAAGTAGGGTAATGACCTATTTTATGCGTGTTGCATGAGGTATTCTTACACTCCCGTTAATCCCTGTGCTGCATAGACCTGTTTAAAGTGCTGTGAATCATCCTTGTGTGCATGGGGTGAGAGAAACAAAAAGGAACAAGTTAACTGCAGCTATGCTCCAAACAGCTGGCCCTCCAGTCTTTCCCAATATCACCCCCTCAACCAATAAAAAAAAAAAAAGAAAAAAGAAAATCTGCCTTTAAAACTGTGTAACAGAGAAGAGAGGTAGTGGCCTGCAAAATTCCCAGAAGTTGTACTCACGGGGATGGACACAGAAAACATCATAGTATTGATGTTGACATTTCCACAGGGGAGTGGAGAGAAAGAAACGGAGAGAGACAGCAGGAGGAATGCTGCATTGATTGGAAAAGTGGACTTTAGGCTTTGACCAGAAGTAACTGTAAAGTGCTGTTGACAGTGACTACGTTAAGTGGATTGTTTAGCTGGAAAATGAGTTGGATGTATGTGCAGGAGGGTCACAATGAAGCTTCGTGTGGCCCAGAGCCAGCAAGGCTCATGTGGTTTGTGTTTAAACAAAGACAGGTCACAGTGAAGAAGAAAAGTAAACAGCCTCATTAATTGGCTGATTTTGAGGCTGCAAACGCACACAGTCAATGAGGGTCCAGTGGAGCCAGCCGGGGTGTGATTTCTACTCATTTCCAAATCCATGCTTTGTCAGAGTTTACCTCCAGACTGACACGTGTTTATTTTGGCACTGAACTCCTGGAACGTAGAGAAACTACCGGAGACGGCATTCAGAGTAACCCTGTTCTCTGTAAGGACTCTCCAGCGTGCTGACAAAAGGCCAGAAGCTTCATGACACATTTATGATTTCATAATCAGCCACGATAATGACTTAATGCCACATTTATGTTACCTTATGCAGCAAAGTTTATTTCTGTAGCCCTCCTCAAGCAATAACAGACAAGTAATAAAACAGGGAGTGCAGAGTTACGTAAGAGCAAAACAACAGAACAAAATACATGAACTCATCATGTAAAGGCTTGCTTGCAGGGAGGCAATTTGTTAGTTATCGCAGATTTTTTTTTTTTTTTTCCTCATTTGGGTCAGGCTGTGCTTCAGCTTGCAAGTTGAAAGCTCTGAGATGTGGTTAGATGTGTTCAAAAAAAAAAAAAAAAAAAAAAAAAAAAAAGAAAACAGTAAAAGCTCAGAAATTGGCTCCAAAGGCTGAATGAGGAGTTGTTTTGGATAAAAGCCTTCGCTGCTGCAGATGGAAGAGTGATTTCTGACAAAGACAGAGGTAAAGAGTGTTACGGTGAGAGGTCCAAGTGAAGTGTGCAGCTCTCTCAAGGACGTAAAATGAAAGACGAAGATATTTTTCATCAAAGTGAAGCTGAAAGTGCCTCAAAGTTTTCTACTTCTTTGGTCAAAACTGCGGATTCACGCACAGATTTTCAGCTGCAGAAGAAGTGGACAGGCTGTCCGTTAAATTCTGCTCTACTTACGCCTTTCAGTTTGTGTAATAAGACTTGATAAATTTACTGTTGGTGTTACAGATGGTTACTGTCAGTCTCCGGCTTTCATTTGGCCCAGTTTGAGACTCCACTGACTTGATTTCCTGTAATAAATTCTTCTCAGATACACAGCAAAAAAGAGGAAGTAATGAAATCCCTGATAGAAATCAGCTCACAGGCTCTTTTGGAAGATTGAGAGCAAACTTTAACGTTCTGGGCACTATCGCTGCATCTCCTTTGTTCCAGGAATTAATCTGTAAATTAGAGAAAAAGGCTGATTATAATACAATAATGAATTGGTTGTATTTAGCCGAGCTGGGGGAGCGGTGACTCTTAAGCTGATTTGACACCCGTGGGCAAAGAATCAAAGGATGAAATACTGCAGTTGCTTTATTTGGATGTTTACAACCCTCAACATCTTGTTTTTCTGGTTTATTTTATTCCACTCCCTCAGTTTACCCTGTATACCTCTAACAAGGAACACCAAGGAAATGGCGCTATATCTTGTCAGAGGTGACATTCATTCAGGTTTTACAGAGCAAGAATTGATCTGATCTGGATTATCCAGAGCTGCACTGACAGCAACAGTCGAATCTCTGATCTGATGCGTCCTGCAACGGCGCTGCAGCTAACAGCAAAGAGGTCAAAGGTCATAGCTAATAATCCTTCGACCCTAAAGCGATCATGTAAGAGACCTGGAGGAAGTTAGAGAGAGGAGTAGAGGATCCTTTTTGTGGGAACAAATCAGTCAGAGGAGGGAAGAGTGAACGGGCGATTGCAAACATGAGGAGGAGAAGAACCCAAACCATTTGCACAGACTCAGTACGAGACGTCACGTATGAAAAAAACAATACTGCAGTTCCTTTCTTGTTTGAATAAATATAAAAATACCTCAATGCCTTTAAAACATGAAACCAAAAAAGCGAAGGAAATAAAGTGCAGCAATGAACTCATTTAGGTTTTTGTCTGTTCTTAATGATGACATGTTGATCGGATGAAATGTTCTGGCACCGTAGTGGCTCGTTTTCTGCTCTGGTCGAGACCACAGGGAATTTTTAACCTATCGAAGCAACTAATTGCAGCATATTAGTAATTTATGATTAATGAACAGATATTGCTTCATGAAATGACCTTCAGTATTTCGAAATGTCACATTTGGCTCAGCAGGATGTTTTTAGGCTCAGGCCACTCTGAAAAAACACTCGCAATAGATTCAAAATCGTCAGTAAGGTGTTTGACAGTCCAAGCTGATGTCTGCAGAGCCTTGTACTGTTCCACCTACAGTCTAAAAACTGAAAAATGCTCCGTTTATAATCATAAATGACAAAGAAAAGCATCAAATCCTCACAGTTGTGAAGCTAGAACGAGCAAATGTTCGGCATTTTCGCTTAAAAGACGACTAAAACGATGAGTAAAATCATTGCAGATTGATTGTTGCAGCACTCGAGGTTTATTTATTGAATAGTATTTCAAAGATCTCTGGGTGCACCTCGAAAACAGGTTATATCTCTGAGAACATGGTTGTAAACATCTGCTTTAATTGAAGCTACCGAGACAGAGTTACAGGAGATGTCGCTGTGACACTAATTCAGCAAATAGCCTGTGTTGTTTCTGTGGATGCCCGGACGAACCTTCAAATTATGCATGGGGCCACGCAGACATGTGGATCCACTGATTTCAGCTGATCATCTGAATTGGAAACATGCATTGCACTCGGTTAAGCCGAATAAGACCAAAACCAAATCCTGTGCGCTCTTATTTCCTCCCCTTGTGCCTTTAGCATCCCCGATCTGTTTGTTTGTGTGTGCTGCATGAGTGATTGTCTGCATGTGTTACACTGCAGGCAAGTCTGCTTTCATTAATATAACCTGAAGGAATTATATTGGCATGTACAGCCCTACCACTTCAAGTAAAGTCTCAGTTCGGTGCCAGAGGTATCTCAATTCATGTTCGTATCTAAAAATAAATGAATAGAGAGAACGTTTAAGCTTTTAAACCAAAGCCACTGAGACATGTTACAATATCAGACGAACTGAAGGGCAACATGTTGGTACATCTTTCTCCGCTGAGCCCTCTCTAGTTTTGGTTTCAGTATCTGTATCAGACATTTACAAGTATTCATGGAATATGGAGTATCCTGGGATGGATTCCGTCAGATGAGACTCGATAGTGATGAGCCAGGGATGACTGTTGTCAATTGCAGATCAGGTTTAATAGAAGATCTTAAATTTCAAAGCGATATCACCAGGAGGATGAAAGGAAGTACTCCCGGGTCTGGTATGAACCCAAGAATTGATTACAATGGTAAATTCCGAGATGTTAACGATATCATAAAGATAAAATCTCAAAAAGTATATTTTTATTACAATTTCAGACTTTTACTAATAACAAAAAGATTCCATGTTTCATTAATTTCCAGCTGAAATGTCCATATTTGAAATCTCTCCCTATTCAAAACTAACACGCACTAGTTTTCCCACCACCCTCTCTGTTTATGCACAGTATCACTTGATATTCTGTTCCCACAGAAACCTGGACCCAAATAAAGGTTCCTCTAATCAGATTGGATGGGCGTTTAGATGTTTTGACTGGGATCGTACCATATATGACCTTGAAAAGGGAGCAAGTTGCTCGATGGAGCCCACACAGAGCCCGTTTTTGGTTGAATGTCACCTGAATGAGAAAAAGTGATACGTGATACGAGGCCCATTCTTCATTATGAGATCCTGTTAATTGGTTATTAATTCCTTAAACAACCCTTTTTTTGTGTTAGTGTCGCCCAAACCTGTCCAGACAATGAGAAGGGAAAACCTGATACAAACCTTTTGTTCTATCAGTACTGTTATAAAAGTCGTTATAGAGAGGAAAAAATGAGGTGGAAAGAAAAGGGGAAAAAAAAACCTCCTGTGCCATCTGGTCGCTGAAATAACATTGTTAGCTAACAAGGGGCATTCCTGTGTACCTGCGGGGGCGTCCAGACGGAGCCCGCAGGACTGAAATAGCTCCGAGATAATCCCCCTCCCCACCCCAGGCTTCTCCAAAAAACAGGGGCATTTGTGCCATCTCCCCCCCAGGCGTCAACTTCACATGTACCCGTGCCAAGAATCTCCTCGTGCCTATTGAGATCCAGAATAACTTCCCACCCTCCTT